CAGCTTGTGAACGAACAAAGTTCATTTTCAACAGATCATTTATGTAATCATTCCAACATTTAGGACTCTGTCTAAGCCCGTAAAGTGCCTTGTTCAATTCACATACCTGTCCTGATGTGTATCTTAAAAAGCCATCTGGTGGATGCATATATACTACCTCATTTAGGTTACTTTTTAGAAATGCTGATCTAACATCTAGCTGATGAATAGTTAGATCTTTCTCTACTGCTAGGGCAAGTAACACTCGAAGTGTCACCATCCTGGCTACAGGTGCATATACTTCCTCTTCTAATGATGGTTGTTGATAGCCTCTGGCTACCAACCTAGCCTTCTTCTTCAGTTTCCCATCTACCATCTTCTCACAAAACACCCACTTGGAGTCAATAATGGTCACATCTGGGGGTGGAAAAACCATTTTCCAGGTGTTATTCTGTTCCAGTGATTGTAGTTCCTCATGAATAGCAAGTTCCCAACCGTTTTGCATGTTTATGGCTTCATTATAACTTTTTGGAATTTCTTGAGGCAAATGACCAGCTGACAAAGCGGCCATTAGTTCCATATCACTGTTTAGATCATAATCTAGTAGATGCCTTGGTACTCTCCTATTTCTTTCACTTTTACGAATGAAAGTTTCAGGCTCTTCATCATCAGACTTTCCAGAATTAGTGTCATCTTCCTCCTCTACATCTTCCACTTCATCTTTTTCATTTTCAACTTCCTCTATAGTTCTAATTAATTCGATTTCATTATCTAAGACATTTTTGTTTTCATCAAAAATTACAGATCTAGAAAAAATCACAGTATTTTCATGTATATCATATAATTTATATCCATTATTACAGTAACCAATGAAAATCATTTTCCTTGATCTAGAGTCTAATTTTCCAATACGATTCTCTTTTGGTACATGTACATATGATATACAGCCAAAAACTTTTATTTTGTTAAAATCAGGTTCATATCCATACCACAGTTTTGCTGGTGTAGTATTTTTATGTATAGACCTTGATTCGATTCGATTATATAGATAAACAGCTGCCAATAATGCATCTCCCCAAAAACTTTTATCAAGCTTTGAATCAAAAATCAAACAACGAGATTTTTCCATGATAGTTCTATTAAATCTTTCAGAAACTCCATTCTGTTCAGGATTCCTTGGTATTGTATATTCAATTTGTATTCCTCTTTTCTTACAGAAATTTTTAAATTCTTCAGAACTGTATTCTCCCCCATTATCACAGCGTATTCTAGATATCTTTGAATTTAATTTTGCACCAACTAGTGCTTCATACTCTTTAAATTTTTCAATAACTTCAGATTTCTTTTTCATAAGATATACATGGGCAAAATGTGTATAATGATCTATAAAACTAACATAATACCTCATATTATCACGAGTTGGGGGTGTAATGGGACCTGCAACATCAGATGAAACAATTTCCAGTACCCTCTTCGCTTTCCTTTCTTCAGGTAGAGACTTGAACATAGATCTAGTCTGTTTCCCCTTCAGACAGATTTCACATATGGTTTTTGATGGATACTTGGATGAATGTCCCATTCTTCTATGCATCAATTCCTGATCATCAACAACATTTGCACTGAAAAATCTAGCTCTGAGAGATATAACATACAAATTTCCTCTCAAAACGCCTTCCAAAAATGTCATGTTATTGTCCTTTGTACATATTTTCACTTTCCCATTCTCAAATATAATCTTGAAGCCTTCATTTTCAATTCTTTTTACTGATAATAGATTATATTCCAAGTCATCACTTTGAAGTACATTTTTCAGCTTGAATTTTCTTCCACTCTCATTTTCTTCTACATGTAAATTTCCACTCTTGAAAACTTTGATTGCGGAGCCCTTCTTAGCAACATTAATGGTATAATTTACTGACTGTATTTCAGTTAAATAGGCACTAGCTTGTTTGTTCACCAAGTGGTTTGTTGCCCCGGAGTCAACAATGAATAACAACATATTATCTCTATCAGTGGCAGATAGAGTGGTGTTGACAATACTAGAAAAACCACTTTCACAAGTTGTTGCTAAGGGCAGTTCAGTTGCATCAGCAATAAATGCTATTTCTTCAGAGACCTCAGTATCAGTTTTCTCACAGTCTGCTACATTTGAGCTTTCTCTACACTCATTACGTTTATGTCCTGGTTTGCCACATTTGTAACATTTGTAAGGAAATATTGACATAGACTGACCACCTCTATCTTGACCATGATAGCTACTTCGTGCATAAGAGCTTCCTCCTCCATGATAGCTACCTCTTCCATGAAAGCTACCTCTTCCATGATAGTTACCTCTTCCTCTATAGCTACCTCTTCCACGATAACTAGTAGCTCTATAATTGCTGGTAAAGGCAACTGAATTGTTTTCTTGCTCGCTTTTGTTTGCTTGTCTCATTTCTTCTTGCAATAATTTACTTTTCACAAACTGTACATTGACATCTTTTGGATTTGTGCTGAACATAACATCAATTGTGGTTGTTAATGCTTGATAACTGTCAGGCATTGCTGCCAACAACTGACATATAATTTCTGGTTCTTCCAGCGTACCTCCACTAGCTTTCAGATCTGACACTGTCTTTTCAAATTCTACTATGAAATTACTCAAACAACCATCAGTAAATTTCATATTTCTCAATTTCTTCTGTAAGTCTACTTGTATTGATAAACCTTTCTTTGTGTACGTGCTTCTCAGTGTCTCATACATGTCCTTTGCCGTTTCCTTGTCTTTCACAGTTTCCAACACATTATCTGCTAGACACTGTACAAGTATATTTTTAGCTTTAATATCTTTCTTCCTGAACAAAGCTAGTTGTTGTGCCTCAGTTGGAGGATTTTCTTCCAGTACTTCCAGTGATTCATTCTGTTCCAAAATCAACTTCAAACGAAATTCCCAATTTGAAAAATTTGTTCCATCAAATGGTTTCAGGGTCACCGCCAGTGAATTCTGCATTGCCATGATTCCAGGAACTTCCAGAGTTTGACCTCCTGTACCTGCTTCCCGTTACTTCCAGAGTTTAGTCCCGTAACTCCCGTAACGTGAAATACTAATTTCCAGCCAAGCCACTTTTAATTCCACCTAGATATACGTATATCTGGGCCCATAACCTTTTGAGATATCAGGACTTGGCTTTATGAAATAAAGATGTCTTACGATGACCTTTTAATAAATGGATTTTTATTCTAATCTTTTCATTACTACTACTACAATCTTTACACGTGAAGAATGTATGTGCAACAACCTTAACCTTCTATTTTTCTACTGACATCGACAGTGACATATGATGTGACAGATTACAGAATGACACTTATGACAGTCTTGCATAGAATGTAGAAATGCATCATAGGCACCACAAAACACAACACATTATACATGAAACATGTCCAGAATCATGCGTAAAATCTAAAAACCTTGATAATATACAGGGTGTCTCATTTAAAATAACGAAGTTGGGGTCCACTTCAGGTACAACCAGAAGTGCCACAATCTTCAAAATATTTCAGCCGGATAGCACTTATCAACAAAAGTGAACTCCCAAATTTTCAAATTCCCACCTATGGTTTTCTATATATTGATCGATGCAGTTCCCGGAGGGACACCCTGTATATTCACTGTTGATGCCAATAACACCGCCTCCGAGAAAGAACTGTGAATCCTATTTTCCATTCCACTTCGCGGTTACTTAAATTAGTAAACAACCACTAAGTTCGCATTCTTTTAAAATCAAATCAAAGAATTAGACTGACAGATATTTGATTACTTCAAAAGTATGATTGAGATACTTACAGAAAGATAATCTATGGCAAGAGTCCATGGCCATTTCATCTGTTATCACTTTGATGAACAAGTGTTGGGATCCCCCATAAAGCCCCTTTGGGCCTTGGGCCATTTGCCCTTCATTTTAATTATTATCAATTTAAATTGTATCATGCAATAATTTTATTAACTTCTCCTTTTTTCATTTCCACAAAATTGTCAATTGAAATATGCTGCTGATGATGGACTATTGATAGTCCGAAACATGTACAGATACTGATTACTCAGTCAATAAATTTGTGGAGATGACTTTGTGTGTCTTGTTTATGGATTACAGAAAGATGCCTGTAACGCAGGTGTAATTCCTGTTACAAACTTCAAATTTCACGTCGATTATTTTCTGATTTTAATATAATGTAATATCTTCTCAATATTGATTCGTCCTTTTTCCTGTCAAAAAGGGTGTATTATACACGGGAAAAATATTATATTTCAGTTCACGTTAAACACAACCTCGATCTAAAAGCTACTACTTTTCCCCCTTGTATAATAAATAACTATTTACCAATGGGTCATGGGACGGATTATACAGTGCGCATCATAAGTGTTACTCCCCTATCTAACTCGTTACGGGACCCTTGATAGTAAAATCACCGACACCCGTCAATTTTTGATTTCTACAGTGTACATTTTCGTAGGAATAGTTCACTCCTAATTTCATTACTCACTGGAGGGGTGCAACCCTGTCAAAAAATTTGAATAGCATGGGGTGGTGAGTGAAAGCTCATTTGAAATTTCAATTTCTTTGCACGGTTGAATAGAGATTGAAACCCCCTTTCAAATGAGTTATCACTAACCACCCCGTGCTATTTGAATTTTTTGACAGGGTTGCTCCCCTCCAGTAAGGGATGAAATTAGGAGTGAACTATTCCCATGAAAATGTACACTGTAGAAATCAAAAATCGACGGGTTTCGGCGATTTTTTTAACAAGAGTCCCGTGTCGAGTTAGATAGGGGGGGGTAACACTTATGATGCGCACTGTATGAACTTAGTACGCACGAGTTTTCCAAATGGTATTAGCTATTTAAATGTTGAGAGTGTAGCTATTTGAATGTTGAGAGTGGAGCCATTCAAAAAATGGGGATGGGAAGTTTATGTTCCGGTTTCAGTCACTATAATGGACTGTTGAATTTCAAATGTTATTTATTGTTCTTTCTTGCATTCCAGATTCTACAATCACCAATCATCTTTCATCCATGGAGGGCTGGACCCCCCTAACCGCGAGACCAGTCCTGTCATCGGCCAGAAGCAGATCCATCAGAAGATCCAGCAACTTAATTTTCGAGACTGTCACGCTAAAATCACCCAGGTCGACTCTCAGGTATGCCATCATTTACTAATTATATACAGTAATCAAAAACATCAGTATTGTATCAGACAGTCAGGCTGCTCTTAACCCTTTGACTCACGAGTTTTTGTTTCAAGAGAGAAACAATTTTATGTTCACATATTGTCTAACTGTGATATTTGTAAGAACATTTTTTTCGAATTGACACTCCTAGAAGTACGAAAAAAAATTGGTCTACATTATGAAATTCATTTAAAAACGAAAGAACAATGGTTACTCAAAATCAATTATAAAAAAAAAACTGTTCAATCCAAATCAAACTTTATGAAATGTCTTGAAATTGTTGCGATTTTTCTGAAGACACAAATATGTACCATACATTTGTGAATCTATCGAGTGTTGCCCTTGCAGTCAACATGTTCATATCTCCCTGGTAGGGACACTACAGTGTGCTCTGGTATAAGTAAGTAAGTAAGTAAGTAAGTAAGTAAGTAATTTATTTGACTATGTTATACACAATTGCATATTAATAGCACGTCACAAAAAATGTTTGTATATAGTTTGAATTTAAGATACAAATAACAATGCACACAGTAATTATAGTAAAGTAAGTAGAAATAAAAACAAATTAAAACAGTCAACACATTAAAAATATTTGGTTTAGTGAGAGTGAGAAATCAAACCACCTTCTTCAACATATTTCTGATATTCCTCTATGGAGTAGAAAGAATTGTACAACAGACATGATTTTATAGCTTTCTTGAAGCAGTACATGGTTAATTTCTTCAATGATTCAGGTAGAATATTGTAGAGATGGTAATTCAATGAATTATTTATGGACTTTGTGAGTCTATATCTAGGTATTCTGATTTTATGTGATCCTCTTGTATCATGCTCATGAATATCAGATTGAATAATTAAGTTTGGTAAATTCTTATGGATCTCAAGTAAAGTACTCAAAATAAACAAAGATGGGAGGGTCATAATGTTCAGCTTTTTAAACAATGGTCTGCAAGTATCACGATATTTGGCATTTGCCAGGATTCTAATAGCCTTCTTTTGTTTCCTGAATACACTTGTGGCTTCCGATGAGTTACCCCCTCAGTAGTATACCGTAATCAAGATGAGACTGAAAAAAGGGAGAAGTAGACAGTTCTCAGAGTACTCGTATTTGTGATATGCCTCAACTGGCGAATGCCGAATAGTGAGCTAGATAATTTCTGATTCAAGATTTTAATATGACTTGACCAGTTGAGTTTGTGATCAATAGTTATACCTAATAGTTTCACATTGATTTTCTTGTGTAGATGTATTGGTGGTAAATATCAATCTTTGTGTTTTATCATTATTCAATTTGAGTCAACTTGCAATAGACCAGTTCTCAGCTTTATGCTCTGCCTCTGCAGCCATCAAGATTAGGGAATAATAGTCCTTATGAGAATATATGAGGGTAGTGTCGTCAGCGAACAGAACACCATCATGAGGTGTTAAAATTGGCGTCAAGTCATTTACATAGATAATGAAGAGTAGTGGCCCCAAAACAGAACCTTGGGGGACTCCAAACTCTACTTCTCTGAAATTAGACAAACCATTTTTGTAGAGTACTGTTTGGAATCGATTTGTTAGATAGGATTTGATGAGGTTTAGAGTAAATCCCCTGATTCCATAGAAATTCAGGTTTTCGAGTAGGATATTGTGAGAAACACAATCAAAAGCCTTGGACAGGTCACACAGAGTTATACCCATATGGTATCCCTGTTCAAGTCCCTGGATCAGTTTTTCCACAACATATGATACTGAACCAATGATTCACATTGTCCAACTGTACCATTTCAGTTCTGTTTCGACTCGACTGAACTGGGACGTCGTCTTTTGATGGCCTTCTTACCCTATAGAGTTACTTTGCTGTGGTTGCCTGGACACCAGGCGGTGGAGAGCAACAAGAAAGCCGGCATCCTCGCCAAACAGGGAACCGAATCTGTGTTCATACATTGAGGTTACCGCAAGTGCGGCCAAAACAACCATCTCGAACTGGACGGAGGGGAAAAGCCTCCCGTACTGGTTCGAATTACCAGGATTAACCCATTCGAAGGTGTTCTTGCCAAAACCTACGAAAAATGTAACTAGTAAGATTCTAGAATGAAGCAGGGTCAATCTGCAAATTCTGACAGGACTGCTTACGGAACAATGTCATCTAAGATACCACCTAGGAAGCATGGGTCTGAACCAATAAGCGGACTGTCGGTTCTGCTGGGTGGAAGACGAAACGGCTGAACACATACTATGTTCATGCTCTTGCTTAGAGCAACTGGGGTGCAACATATTTGGGTTTACTAATTTAGAACCTATCGATTTCAGACAAATCTCACCGTATTTAATCATGGAATTTTTGAAAATAAGTGGATTGCACAGTGAACTGTAACTTCTAGGAGTGAGTCACAATAGACCCATCTGGGGTCGCAGTGGAGTGGCGGTATTCGCCCCACTCACATGGAACATAACCTAACCTAATCATATACAGGATGATTCATAATAAGACCCACGAATTTCGTATACGAACTCGTAACCTCATTTTGAGGTGGAAATTCATCCTCATAGGGTGAATAAATTCAAAGATTTAAATTAATTTCTTCAGAACATCCAAAACCTCTAGAAAAAAAAAAACTTGGTATACTATTTCACAATAGTCAGGGTAATTGAAGTTTTCATTTTTGATTCATATTCATAAAGACATAGCTACCTCTTTTACCCGAATTCACTGTTCTGATGCGAGATTCGCATGGCTACTAGATTAGAATTAATTAGAATTGAAAATAAGTGCTTCCATAGTGACAATAGGTCCATATTTCAGTTTCACAGAACTATTATAGTGATTGAAATATATTGCTAGTGGTGAGAAAAATTCCCCTGGGATAATAATGATATTCTTTACTAACTTGGTGTATAAATAACTATTTCCGTCGACCTCGTATTAACAAGTATGTTTAATGTTTATGAAATTGATTGTTAATGACCCATAGTAATGATCAATTTGTCTGTTAATGCAACCAAACATTCTTTCACTATACTATAACTTACGGAATCTGAATTTAAATCGAAAATATGGATTTCATGGATGATTTTACGTTAACGGGTTTGCCTTTCAACGTTTCTGAACCGATTTCAATCCCTGTTTTTTAACAATTGAAATTCATTTTCCGAGTTGATTATTTCCACAAAAAATGTCAAGTGTCACTAATGTCAATGACAAGTTGACTTTCAGGGCTACTTGGTGATTGTTGGTAGTTTGGGGATGAATGATGAATTGGCGAACCAAGTTTTCTTCATTGCAGGAGAGATATAGTCAATGAAAAAATTTTGTGGCCAACTTGTATGTCGATAAGGCGAATAATGATCTTGATGAACATTAATCGACCTCATTGATACACTAGTTGGTAACATAACTATTTTAACTTCCTTTTGATCCAGAATGTTCTTGAATGTTTAGAATGTTTGAAAATGTTGAAGAATGTTGTAGAATATTTAGAAAGTCCCAGAAGGTCCGAGAGTGTTTTTGGATGGTTCAACATTTTTGAAAAAGTTCGTTAATGTCCCATAATGTTCGAGAATGTTGTTAAATGTTAAGAATGATCGAAAATATTGTTGAATATTCAAAATGCCCCAGAAGGTTTGACTGTTTTCAAGAGTATTCTAGAATGTGCCTGGATGATCTAGAATATTTTAAAATCTTCAGGAATCTCCCAAAATGTTCTAGAATTTCCCAAAAGGTTCTGTAACTTGAAAAGGGTGTCAATTTTAATTGATAATATGATTGTAATAGCTTCAAACAACCTTCAACGTCCTCGTTGTCAAAATATCCTAATTTTAAAGAAAGATAATGTACTAACCAGGTTGAACAAATGTAACTTTCCTTCCATAACGACTAATATACTGATTATTCGTAGGAGCATCGCCAAATTCATTATTGGCAGATGTATTTTCGTCTGCTCATTGGTTATTCTTGATAGATAAAGTTCAATCTTCATCTTCTATGAAAGCAGGTCTCAACCGAAATATTTTCATTTTTTCCATTGACAGAGATTGTGAAATATTTCTCATTCCTTATCAAAACCTTGTATGGACCTGAATATCGATTCTGTAAAGGTTAACACTATCTACCCTCAAGAAAACACGAGGAATTGTGTAACTCCTTATGAATGCCAATTTTTCTCTGGCCATGATTTTTTGGTTGTTCCTTTGATTTGATCTCCCTCATAGATTGTTGTAGTGATTTTGTGAATTCGTGATAAGACATATTTTCTGTCTTCGAATCTGTGAGAATTAAATCCCCAGGTATTCGCAATGTCGAACCAAATATTACTTTAGCTCTACTAAAACCATCCAAATCTTCTTTTGGTGCAATCCTGATACCATATAAAACAGTTGCCGAATGTTCCAATCTTGACTTGGACCTCGACCGGTAGCGTTCTCCTTCTGTATAAGTCTTGGTCACCTTTTCATCCAGTTTATTGATGAGCTGCTCTATTTTATCTACCAATGGATGGATTCTGGGCTCAGAAGATCTGAAACAGGAAACTTCTGTATTTCCTGACCCTTCCATCATACCATCAGCCATTTTGGTTAATTCTTCCTCACTCAGCTTATCGTGGAATGCTCGAACCAATTGCTCAACAGTTTTTGGTAATTTCTTCAACCAAGCCAAGAAGATGAAGCTTTTTGTTATCTGACCAGACGCAAGATTGGTCATTTCACGATTAAGTTGGCTAGGTTTTCGATCGCCCCGCTGACATTCTGAGAATAATTTGGTCATTTTTTCTTCATCTGATATTTTATAAACACTGATAAGCTGGTTTCTCAGAATCGAATATGAATTAGGTTGATCTTGCAATTTGAAAAGATTTGAAGTTTCTTTAGCAATGCTACATTACAATATCGAGAGTATTTTGCCACATTTGATTTGATTGGAAGAAATATTGTTGAGCTAGAAAATTGAATCAACTGCACTAAACCAGAGTTCAGGTTCATTCTTCCAAAATGCCGGAAGCGTGAATGATTTTGCACGGGAAAATTCAGTATTTCCGTCTCGATCTCTTGAAGGTTCAGTTCAGTAACATCCGAACAACGTTGTTTATTTGTTGATTCAGTGATCGTTTTCCTCAACTCTTCTAATTTGTTATCAACCTTTTCGATATATTCCATGAGTTTGACGCATAAACATTCCAATTTGTTTAGTTTAATCTGCATAATATCATTCTCATCGGTAGTTTGGACTTCAACGTTTTCCACTTTTTTAGTGTTGATTTCCGAATTATTTACCTGAGCCCATACATCGGTGAAGTCAAAATCATTCGTATTGCTAATATTTTCATATCTTCTTCCAATTTCAGATTCTAGTAAGATTCGCAAGTCGGCCACCGTTTAGTTAGAATCTCTTTCGAGGTGGCGAAGGAGTTTAACTAGCTGGTCTTTAGTTAAATTCTGTAGTAAGAGTTTAACCATGTTCTAAAATTATACTGCTTCATCGGGGTCACCAAACGCGTATACCCTGCGTGTGAAAATTTTACACTGGAATATATTTTTGTTCCATTACTCATATGTATAGATGTCGAATCATACATCCGAAAAACATTATTAAGCACCGAATATTTAATAATTTCTGATTGAAAATCATAATATTTGCAACTTTCCGACCAACAGCCGAACTGCAGCGATGATTTCCGACTAGATGTGGCTGTTTTTATTTGTCATGTCAAACATTCATGTCCGAAAGATTGTAAATAATATAAGAAGAGAAAGTGAGGTTATGATTATCTGAACTTGTAGTTTCTATAATCTATCTCAATTATATGATCTCAATATTCTGAATAATAATAACTGAATAATAAGCTAATATCTACAATACAAATGATCAAACAGGACTTCTTTTTGCATGTTGTTTCAAATACACTGTGTCCATAAAGTCACCCCCCCCCTGGTTAACTATTGAACGGATGGGATTTTTTTTTTCAATATTTTTTTGCTCCAATGGTAGTTTCAGTGCTATATATTGTTCCAAAAAAAAAAAATGTATCCTCCAAAATGGCGCCTGGGCGCCATTTTGAAAGATTTTTTTAAATGGAGTGGGGGGTCGAAAGATACCTCGATTGAAAGGTCTTCCGATTCTCTATACAACCTCAGAATCTCAGACAAAAATGATCATCCAAAACAAAATGGCGGATGATAACGTTTGAAATCTCACACCAGAATTCTTTCGACTAGATGGCTATTGAAGTGCTCGCATGTGATCTTCAAATCTCTATTGGCGTAAAGAAGAGTTCTCTATCCATGAAGATATCAATAGGAAGCCATTTTGAAGAGAATAACATGGTAGTCAATTATACCTTTGCTCGATTGTCTTTCCAGATTCTGCAAAATTTTAGAAATATCTATTCAAAATAAAGAACAATGTTTATTCCACGTGACTACCATGTTATTCTTTTCAAAATGGCTTTCTATTGATATCTTCATAGATAGAGAACTCTTCTATACGCCAATAAAGATTTGAAGATCACATGCGAGCACTTTAATAGCCATCCAGTCGAAAGAATTCTGGTGTGAGATTTCAAACGTTATCATCCGCCATTTTGTTTTGGATGAATATTTTTGTCTGAGATTCTGAGGTTGTATAGAGAATCGAAAGACCTTTCAATCGAGGTATCTTTCGACCCCCCACTCCATTTAAAAAAATCTTCCAAAATGGCGCCCAGGCGCCATTTTGGAGGATACATATTTTTTTTTTGGAACAATATATAGCACTGAAACAACCATTGAAGCAAAAAAAAATTGAAAAAAAAAAATCCCATCCGTTCAATAGTTAACCAGGGGGGGGGTGACTTTATGAACACAGTGTATATATTACCACCTATCAATTTATATCTCATATAGTTTTCCATATGTTCTTCAAGCTGAAAACGAAATCACATATATTATTCTCCTAATAACATGAGGAACATAATCATTGATTTATAATGGGTTTCACTAGGACATACTTGAACGTATACTCACTTCGAAATGGTCTCCACAAACAAATCCTCTGGTTTTCTCGGATAAATCATTTCTATTTATGGCTTGCAACCATAATTTTCTTTTCTCTTTATTTTTATCACTCGATCCCACTGGCAATGAAAGGAATATTTTTTCTGGTGATACTTTTGTTGATGAAAGGCATTGCGGCACTAAACAGTATATTATCATTTTCCATTTTCAAATTTCCAATTTCTGGCGTTTAAAACTGTTTTCTTCTCCTACCTCTTCTTCTTTTTTTTTTCAATCTGAATCTTGTCATTCTGTCGCGCTAGTCTATGGCTGTGCGGCCTAATACTATGACGTCATAATATTAGTGATGGCCACTAACCCGTTTTCCTGTGACTTGATATTTAGCCTCATTTAAATGAAATTTTTTAGAGTCACAAGCAAATTTGAGATTAATGAATGATATCCAATGTTATTATAAGGAAGAAGGAATATAATTTCGATTAAACAAAAAATCATGCGTATTCCTTATTGTAAAAGCTTTATTACTTTAATTAATAATCTTTTTGAATGACAATCTAATTATATATTCAAAGAAACCTTCAACTTCCTCGTTGTCAAAATATCCTAACATTACAGTGTGATTATAATATTTAGTTATCATAATATGATGTATCACTACATGATGATTATTCAACATATCTCATTCGTCCTCCTTTTCTAAGGCAACGTTGGGCAACGGCGTGCCGTTTTACGCAGACGGTCTCGAAAAAAACAGAACATGTTCTAGAATGTTTCAGAATATTGAAAAGTTTTTAACAAGGTTCAAGAATATTTCAGAATGTTCTAGTCAATCCAGACTAACAAACTCGTACTAAAACCTTCATTAATGTTGGAGGAAGTTGTAGAATATTTAGAAAGTCCCAGAAGGTTCGAGAGTATTTTTGGATGGTTCAAGATTTTTTAACAATTTCTGTAATGTCCCATTATGTTCGAAAATGTTGTTGAACGTAAGAATGATCGAAAATATTGCTGAATATTCAAAATCTCCCAGAAAGTTCGAGTGTTTTCTAGAGTATTATAGAGGCTATATTCCGAATTCAACTGGTCAGTACTGTCAGTAGATCCACTGACTCTGCTGAAAATCTGTGTTCCGAAATATATAATCAAAAATACAGTGCTGTAATTCGGAACACGTTTTCATGGTTTTCATCAGTAGTCAGCAGCAGTTGATCAGCTGGTGAAATTTATCTGTCTGAGTTTCTCGTTTATCTGATATCAGATAATTTAGCCTCTTGCTTGACATACATTTTGGAAATATAATATTTAACAAGGAAGAGCAATCGGTTCTTGTAGCCTTCATAGTTTCTTCGATTGTTGACGATGACGATTCAAGCTCGAGTGATGAAGAATACTTGGACATTTATGTAATATGGCATTGATGATGATTCATTTAGGAGACATTTCAGGTTTATTCAGATTTGTATTTACCCAATGCTGCATCTTCTTTCGTTACCTCTTCTACTTCATACTCCATATTATTCTCATCGTTTATTATTTCAATAACGGGTATTTTCTGATATTGAAAATAATATAATTAACAACGGAAATAAATGTTACATTTCTTCCCCCTCTGAAATTATGACAGTTTACTGAAGCCACACTACCTTTTGATACTCATACTTTGATTTTGGAATGAAAAATCAGCAGATGCAGTACTGTCAGTTGAATTCGGAATATAGCCATAATGTGCCTGGATGATCCAGAATATTCTAAAATCTTTAGGAATCTCCCAAAATGTTCTAGAATGTCCCAACTTGAAAAGGGTGTCGATGAAATTGAGAATATGATTATTATTCATAATTCTATCATATCTCATTCGTCCTCCATTTTTTGAAGGCAACGTTGGGCAACGGCGTGGTGGTGCAGGTGACGGGCGAGCTGTCCAACGCCGGCCAGCCGATGCGCCGTTTTACGCAGACTTTCGTGTTGGCGGCGCAGTCGCCGAAGAAGTACTACGTGCACAACGACATCTTCCGCTACCAGGACGAGATCGTGTCCGAGGAGGATGAGGAAGAAGGAGAGGAGGAGGAGGAGGAGGACGAGGGGTGCGAGGGGGACGGGCGGTCCGACCAGGAGGAGGACGTGCAGGGCGGGTGAGTGTCGAGGGTTGAGGGGTTGTGCGGGGTTTTGAGGTTGAGAATCGGCGAAAATGGGCCTTATTACTACTTTTTAGTTTGAAGATCTGCCGATAGATGGTTGTTTTTTTATATGAAAAAGGTAAAAATTATATCTTTATTAAATGAAAATGACATTGAATATATTATGAAAACGAATTTATATTTGTTCACCATCATCTGTAATTATTTCGTGGAACTGTTATTCTGCATCGTCATCGGTATCATCTGTGTCTGTGCCATCATAATCCCCTTCATCCTCGCTTTCGGTGTCTGAACTTTCAGGCGATCCCATAAAGTCTCCATCATTTGCCAAATTCTCAGAAAGTTCTTCTATTCTCAGCTACAGCGGTTTTCGTGGGCCTGTTACAGAAGATTTTTCTTGTTTTTCCCGCGATTTTTCGATTTACTCCTCATCAAAATATACCTGATACTTCCTCAGCTGCATTCTCATGGATAATAATGTCATTCAGTTCTGCGGGAAGGATGGCTCCAAGGTATCAATGGAAATCGTAGTCTTCATTTTCCTAAATTCAGCCCCACCCACGTGGCTCAAGATCTGGCACTCTGAGATGAGCACCACTACACAACTGGGAAATGAAAACAGTCACAGCTGTTCTAGTTCAGCTTCACAAGGCGGTAGCCGTGAGGGGTCGTATTTAAATAAAGTTTTCAGCAACTTCTGGGAGCGTTTTTCTTCGCGGCGAAAATAGTTATTCTTGGCACTGCGCAAATTGTATGCAAACCGTTATTTGAGAAATACTTTCACTTCTACTGGTCAAAATCTCGAAATTTACTCAATTATCGATTATTTATAGTTAGTCCGGTCAGTTGATGTTGGCATAAATCGAGATGCCCTCTAATAAATCGTATGCAAAGGTCTGAATAGTGGTTAATGGGCTGAAAGGAATCGATCCACCAAAGGGTATACTTTCCTCGATTATCACTTATTGCCAGTGCAATATTTCACTTCCGGTTCGTATGCCTCCTTCCGGTAGCGACCTAGATGTATACAAACCAGCGCGCCCGGATATTTTTGCAAAATACGATAATGTATCCACATGCCCGAGCTTCCTCGTTCGTCGAATGATCAACCCTTTTTTCAAAAGGAAGTAGAGGTCATAGCAGGTGCAAGGACTGGTCAGAGACGCTCGGAGGCACACTAAAAGGGCATACGAACATATGCTATCAACACTTGTGGTGTCATGGGCCCATAGTCTATAAGAGTAGCATTGGAACATGAGCACAAATGATTTGGAATTGTGTAATGGGAATCGCGATATTTGGAATTATTTCTATTTCAATACAAGTAAAAATTAGGTAAATTGAGGCCTAAACAACTTACGATTTCTCTCATATCCAGTATTAAAAAGTGTGATTGTTTCCATAATTATTATTGGATTTTTATTGAACACTGTTGCCAAGTGTACCTATAATTCTTGATCATGCATACTTATATTATCAATTTTAGAGGGTAATGTCAGATGCTCTTGATAAACTCCGAATAAAAATAAGTAGTTTTTTTAATAAATAGAATCGATAATCATTTGAAATCATTGATATTCTCCATATAGGTATTTGTTGATATTTGTGAAATACACATACTACAAATTTATTCCTAAATATGAAATATTCATTTGACAACACTGAAAACCATTGTCTGTCGTTTGACAATTTTGACAGAAGAACAATTTTTTTGGATTCTTGATTAGATCATAATCTATAAATTATTACTTCCAACTTCTGTGCTATTATTTATACATCCACTACTTGTTTCGAATTACATATAGAAGTAACAAAAATTGCTGGATTGAGATTTCTCAGGAAGAGGTAAAGATTGTTGCTTGTTTATTCACATTGAGTTTTTAAGCTCTCAGATGTAAAAATATTATCAAAAAAGGAAAGATGCTTGAATGTACATGCTACCATTGACAGATAAGCTCTAGATATTTCTACTTCAAAGATCAAGTTTTGAGAAGCTGTGAACAACCTTAAAACTGGGATATAATAAGCTTACTGGAAATGTTGATTATTTGAATAATTTCATGAAAAGTATTACATTAGTGAATCCTCAAGTATTATGTTTTGGTATATAAGGTATTCGATGATACCTGAGCAACATAATCATCCTGTTGTTTTTCATTCATTTTTGGTGGATACATAATATGGCTCATTTATAATATCTACTTCATCAGAGGATCAGCAGCTTAATATACTTTTTTTGTCAAATGGTTCCTGTGAAACTTTCCATTGTTTAATTTTTTGTGTCACCTTTTCATATTCAATTCGATTAGGTGTAGGTGTAATTATTGTTTAATAAAGTAACTGTATAAATGACAGTCTCCAATTGGCACTTCATTGAAAATCAGGATGAAGATTAAGCTACTATAGTTGATGTGAATTAAGAAACAAGATTTCATTCCTAATCTGGTAGTTAATAATAAAGACTAGTAGTGTTTATTGTTTATGTGAGTAAATATCTATGTATAGCATATGTGGATACCAATGATCAATTTGATAACTTTTCTGGAATTGAACATCAACACTTTTGAAGACAGTCGAAAAGCAAAATTCAGCTTCACATCCAATAATGTGAATCACTGGATCAATAATCTCTATTTCTCATTGATTCCACTTCCATTATATTTATCAGAGAGAATGTGTAAGTAGGTACCATTTTTTTCGGAGGTGGTCAAAATTATTTATGGACACCAGGAAGGATCATTCCTTTCATGGTAGTATAAGAATCACTACATGTAGGTGTACTCACTAAACACTCCACCTCCTTTCAAGGCTCGTCTGATCGCAGTCTCCGATGACACTTAGGCTTGTTGGCCCATTTTACCATTGTACCTCGATAATGCCGTTATTGATTTCACCATATACAACCCATCGTTCTTATATAAGGGCCACTTCAAATGCCGCCACAGTAACTGTGAGCACTGCTGCTGTAATGGGGGAAGGTGTTGGTCCAGCCCTGTGGTGTCCCCTGCACAGGGCTAAGGCTGTTTACTCTGAGATGTTGCCCTGTTTCCCAGAGGTCCTGTTATCGACACCATATAACCTCGGTGCCATTCATCCCTCGTCACGGGTTCCCACAACATGGATTAGGTTGCCAGAGCCTCGTTATCAATCCGCGGCCACATAAGCAGATGTCCAAAAAATTGCCCCATTCTTGCACTCAGATATCAACAAAACTGTCCCATTTGAGTGATGAGAGCAAAGATGTTCCCAAATTGCTCAATCATCCGAGCAGTCGAAGCTCGTCCTCTCTGCACTATGGTGAAGTTGTGCTTTAGGGGAGAAGGAACAAAGAAGAATTGACAAAGAGAGACTGATAAAAGAGATTGAAAACTGATGATTAAAGAGTATCCGGCTAGGTACCTGGGGATTACCATTCCCGTACCATATATTTTCTATATTCCATCAGTCCATTCAAACCAATCCTTAATGAACAAAGACATATAAAATATCAAGGATATTTTTGATAATGATTCCACATTATTATTTGTATTAAGGAGCTCTGGATTTATTTTCATGAATTTCTCAATACAATTAGTAGTTCATGATCATATACTGTAACAATAATTAATCCAATAACTAGGTATCAATATTATTTCTCCTCTGCAAATATAAGAAACTATATTTTCAGAGTGAACAAAAATTGAGAGTAATATTAGGTTAGTAAGACTAGTATTTTGTGCCTGAAAAGTAGGCAAATTGTTGAATTATTTTCATAAAAAACAATTGTCGTATAAGTAAACTTTTCGGATTTTATTCATCACGAACCTATTACCTACCGAAGTAGGTATGGAATAACCCAATAAAACTACATTTTCAAATTCACCAATTGATGTTCTACAAACATTTCTTATGGAAAATCGTTTCGCGGTTCTCGTTGTTGTCCACACGGACCCCTGGCGCCGAGTAGTTAGTAGAAAGGCAGACTGGTAGTAATAAGGTCCAGGGCCTGTTTCAGTGAAACATTTTATTTCATTATTTCGAAGTACCTAACAAGTTTACTGTCGCAAACCGTTTTTTCCTCAGAGCTCTGTACATTTTTAAAATGATTATAGAAATTCAAGATATTTCGTAACATGAAAAACGCGGGAAACGCTTGACGAAATCACCCGTGAACAATCCAATGCAACCAAATACAACAAGTGTAAGAATATTTCTGATTGTCGTTTTTATCAAAATATCAAATGCATTTTTTGTACTGAATACTTACAGCATATAACAGAGAACTCAAACAAATGAAAAATCAGATAATATGAGGATTATCTCTGAATATTCTCAGTATTCGGTAGATTTGACCCTGGATTTGACTAGATGATTGGTTTTGAAGATAGATACGGGGGTGACGTTAGATAGTTAGGTTAGAATTATTTAATTATATTTTTGTGAACGCTAAGCATTATGATGCTGCCAGGGTCACAAATTAGTTCGGGTTTGAATAAAATCTCGATCATTATTAGAAATATCAGGATATTCTTATTATCACTGGAGCATCTTGCAAGATATATAAGTATTCAATAAGTGATTATTAGGAACCAGGTGGAACCAACCATTGTCTTCTGTGAATATGAATACTGTTGTCATTGGTCATATAGAATCTCATAAGGTAATTACTAGTTATAAATTTGGCAGCGTCGAAATATATGGTTATTCTCGCATTGGGTGTTGACGAATAAAGAGGAATATATCAACAAATATCACTATTGCCACGTGAGAAGGTGTATAACGTCATCGAGAGCTGGCGTTTTTCGAAGGTGCCGATTTTAATTATTGACTATTCCACTCTTGTTCTCAAGAACTAATCAGAATCGACCATTTTCACGGTTTCTTCTGTATTGTAGCGATATTTTATGTTTACTTAATTTTATCGGACTTGCTCTACCAATACAGAAGCCGAATTGACCCACACGTGACCAACAAACCTCGTTTATCAGCGATAAAATTTTGACATCGAGTCTGGTCAAGATTGCTTTGGATTCAAATCAGAGACAATAACCTACCTACTTTATTTCATTACTTTATAATTCGCGTTACTGAGACATATTTCATGTGAAAGGCGAGACAATTTTTTTCTGGCTGGACGTTTCATGTGAAAAAATACTTTAGGTATACCTATACCTTTTCTTTATACTATTTTGGTACATGATGAATCAAGAAAAACGGTTCGGGGATGATTCTCCAAAAGAGATTAGAGAAAATATCACCATTCTAACACCGCAGAATACAATCAAAACACGCACATCAATATGGAACCAGTTTATGGATTTTTGTATGTTGAGAAACTCTGAAGTTTGTCTCAACGACTCCAGTCAGCCAAATCAGCTCAATTTTGGAACACTGGGCCTTCAATATGAGAAGAAAAAATGGCGAAGATTACATGGAAAGTTGTGTTAAGGCTTAGTGGAACATCACCGTAAAATTAGTTCGAGAGAAGTACTACAACGAATTAAATATTTCATTCGACCCATTTTTCTATATGGACTATCTCAAAACAAGAATTGCGCGAGACGCTAAAAGGAAACTTTCACAAAACAATCCGATTAAAAGAAAACAAAGTGCTAAAGCTCTGAAAATAGAAGAAATTCAAGCCATGGCCTCTGCATGGGATGAAGATAATCCCGACGGATTACAAAGAAAGGTACCTACCTATAAAATACTTGATAATTTAAAAAGTTTGCATTTTTGTAGACGGTCTGACAATTCAAAAATTCAAATTCATTTCCGAAGTAATTTTATCACTTCAATTATTGTGACTATTTGAATTATCTGGTGAAGTAGCGCAAGTGTTAGGGACTCCTCTGGCAAAAAATGGAGTGAATGAACAAGAACTCATCAAGATTACTGGCCATGCAAATGACCAATCGCTAAAGCCATATTTACATCTCGATCCAGTACACCATTCACGTTTAGTGAGTAATATGAGGAGCACCGGAATCAGTACAGATATGAAACCAACTGATTCTTCTGAGAACAACCATCTCCAAGATGATAATGAAAATACTGTTTACCAAAATTGTACATTCCTCATTGTGAATAACTATTAGTAGGTAGTTAATTTCTAAGAAATTGAATTCTGTATTTTAGTCTTGTTCGCAGTTTGAGTTGGAATATACTTAAATTATGTTTCCTATATATATATTGTCTCAATCAATCATGAAATAGTCATACGAATACAACTCGTGATATTATTTTTCCTGGAAATATTCGTCGATTGACATACTCCAGCTTGCTGCTTAAATTTCGCTCATGACATTGACCCAAAACTACTCGCCTACGGCTCGTAGTTTTGATAACAATGTAATTTGCGAAATTACTAGGCAACAAGCTGTCGTAACAATCACCGAATATTTCCGGCAAAATATTATCACTCGAGGTATTACATATGAAAAAACTTATTTGTGATACAAAAGGAAGAAGGAAGGCTCAAAGTCATCTCCATTATTTTATTACTGATGTTAATCAATCGAGGGAACATGTTTGGGACTCATAAAAGTCCATCCTCAGCCGTATTCAGAAGTTAATGGAGGTGAAACAGTATTTTAAATTAAATGCCGATGTCTATCATCATAATATCGTGGTTATTATGGTAAAAAGGGTGGTTGAGAATGAACGGGTTTTCATTAAAAATGAAGGACTCCGTGCCCTGAGAACGCACACTTATAAAACCAAATGTCAAGTCCCAGAAGGAAAAACTTCGAGCACTACTCTGAACCGTCAGTTGTGTGTTCGTTCTCTGTTACGTGCAGTAAGTATTAAGTGCAGAAAATTCACTAGTGTCTAGGGCGAGCACCTTCTGAGGAGGCGAACTTTTTTCATTTTTTGATTGAAATAACAATGAGAAATATTCTTGCACCTGTCTTACAGACAATTTTTTCGGATGATTACGTAACGCGTTTCCCGAAATTTTGCACAGTGTCGGGAAACACCATGTAGAGATTTTATGTTGAGACCCTTATGTTTCAAAGAAGTACCACATTATAGGTTAAAGACTGGGCTAGTGAACAGTGTGAACCAAATGCAAATTGTTCGAAACAGAAAAAAGTTATTCACATCATACCCACGTCGTGGGTTCGATTTCCAGCACGGGCAAGGAACTTTTTTCAATATTTTATTTACGAATTGAATATTGTAAAGTTTCGGAGCATCGGCTGGGGATAGTCCTGCACGATTCGCTGTTGCGTTCCAATTAACAGTGCTGCTCCTAAAGTGGCGCATGGAGTTAGTAACAAAGCCTACACAGAACACGCAGAAAGATATGATGATGTGGTTGTGAGCATCAGAGAAGAAGTAGGACGGTGTATCTAGGTGGGTGTGGAAAATTACCAGCTGAGCGTGAGAGCGGGCCAGCTGCTTAAGTAGACCTCGGTCTCGGGGGTTAACGATGATAGTTAGCAGGCCTGCCACTGCGCATATGGTAGTGAGTACATTACTAGCCTACAAAACACAGCTGAAAAACTCTGATAAGAGAGCTGATGGGCGGTGCCTGAAAAGGATGTTAGCCAGCTCTCTTGAGCGAACCACATCAGTCATTGAAAACACTTGGGGTTTGCGAAAAGGTCCCATTCGGGACTAGTTGCTGACGTGGAAACGTCCCCCACCAGTACCAGTACCAGTATTCACATCATAACAAGGGCAACATTTTGGGGTGCGACGAAATTAGTGTTGTATGGTATAGTTAGGGTTAGTAGGTACTTCAAAATAATGAAATAAAATTTTTTACTGAAACAGGCCCATTGAATCGTTTTTTTTTTTAATGAAAATCCATCATAACAATGAGGAAAAAACTCACCTGCATAGTAATTTTCACAAATTCACTTTGGCATACGACAATAATTGTTTCGTTGATTATTAGCTTCTTCACGGTGTATCTATATATATATATTTTGACCCCTACCTACAGCTTCAACTATACATAAGAAAAATATCTTTCACAAAAGTTGAAAATATACAGGGTGTTCCATTTGAAAAAACTGAATTGGGCTCTTTTTCTACTTTGCGATTCGCATTTGCTTGTTTAACCTTTCCGTGACGGGGCCCATAGAAATTCCGTAGTCGCCGGCGCGGGGTAGGAGTGCTACCCCACTAGAAAAACGTACTTATGAGCAAGTTTTAAATTATATTTTATTCTGAAAATCAAACATAACATAGATAACAAACATTGCACGATCGTCGCAAGTCAAATATTTTTATTTAGCCATGGCTAACACTCACAAACTCACAAAAACGTAGGATATTACTCGCATCAGTACGTGTCTTCCGGTCACTGAAATCAATCTATCAAGTGGGTACCTCGAATGCACCGATTTGTTTTATGTGACGCATGCGCGGATTCGATAAGCGTGGTGAGCAAGTTGAAACATTTGAGCCAGAGGGGGGTATGTCGCATACCCCAACGCATGAATCTTTATCTAACGTTCAAAATATTCATGAGACCTACAATATCTAATCATTATAATGTCGGTAATGCATCGTTCGAGGATTAGCTATGAGGAAAAGTACGAATCTTTCTTCTTTATAAAGTTACAAGGAATAATAACGTGAAGTTGGGGTATGCGGCATACCCCTCCCCGTCACGGAAAGGTTAAGGAGTGTCAGAAGATAGTACAGATGAAACCCTACAACTTTCTTATTTAAAGTTTTTGTCCACCTTGAATAGTTGAAGCTGTAGGTAGTGGTCAGAATATAAGGAGAAAGCCTGTATATCACACTGTTTCAGTGCAAAAGTAAATCTGTGATGATCATTAGTCCGGTGAGTCTTTCCCTCATTAATAATAATCATGTATCGTGCGGAAGGCAAGTCATGATGGATGCCCAGCTGCCCATCAACCAGCCTCCCGTGCCGCCGTACTACCCCAACGCCGGCCAGATGCCGGCCGGCATTCCCCCGGTGCCGATCCATCACAGCCAGCAGCAGCAGCCGCAGCACGTCATCAATGCGCAAGCGGTGCCGACCGTCAACGGAGCCATCCATCCTGACGATATCAACAATATCAACGTTATGCAAGGTGGGTCAATCATTATACCGAGGAAACGCAACATCATATTATATGAATCGGCAAAAAACCGGCCACTCTTGAAAATCCCTTATTTTAAATACACCTCTTCCAGTTGTATTTCAGAAAGCGTCAATTGTATTTCAGAATAGGCACTTGTATTTTATGAAGCATCGATTGTTTTTCAGAATAGTCAATTGCATTTCAGAAAGTGTCAATTGTATTTCAGAATAGTCACTTGTATTTCAGAAAGCGTAAATTGTATTTCAGAATAGTCAATTCTATTTCAGGAAGCGTCAATTGTATTCCAGAATAATCAATTCAATTTCAGATGGCCTCAATTGTATTTTGGAATAGTCACTTGTATTTCAAATAGCCTCAATTGTATTTCAGAATAGTCACTTGTATTTCAGAAAGCGTAAATTGTATTTCAGAATAGTCAATTCAATTTCAGAAAGCGTCAATTGAATTTCAAAATGGTGAATTCAATTTCAGAAAGCGTCAATTGTATTTCAGAATAGTCACTTGTATTTTGTATTTTAGAAAGCATCGATTGTTTTTCAGTATAGCCACTTGTATTTAAGAAAGCATCGATTGTTTTTCAGAATAGTCAATTGAATTTCACTAAGCGTCAATTGTATTTCAGAATAGTCACTTGTATTTTAGAAAGCGTCAATTGTATTCCATAATAATCAATTCAATTTCAGATAGCGTCAATTGTCTTTTGGAATAGTCAATATTTCAAATAGCCTCAATTGTATTTTGGAATAGTCACTTGTATTTCAAATAGCCTCAATTGTATTTCAGAATAGTCACTTGTATTTCAGAAAGCGTAAATTGTATTTCAGAATAGTCAATTCCATTTTAGAAAGCGTCAATTGAATTTCAAAATGGTGAATTCAATTTCAGAAAGCGTCAATTGTATTTCAGAATAGTCACTTGTATTTTGTATTTTAGAAAGCATCGATTGTTTTTCAGTATAGCCACTTGTATTTAAGAAAGCATCGATTGTTTTTCAGAATAGTCAATTGAATTTCACTAAGCGTCAATTGTATTTCAGAATAGTCACTTGTATTTTAGAAAGCGTCAATTGTATTCCAAAATAATAAATTCAATTTCAGATAGTGTCAATTGTATTTTGGAATAGTCACTATTTCAAATAGCCTCAATTGTATTTCAGAATAGTCAATTCAATTTCAGAAAGCGTAAATTGTGTTTCAGAATAGTCAAATTAATTTCAGAAACAGTCATTTGAATTCAAAATGTTATTTCTGAAATTCAAATTACAGTTTTTGAAATTCAATTGACTATTAAAGACAATTGACGGTTTCTGAAATTGAATTGAGTATTCTGGAATGACGCTTTCTGAAATACAAGTGACTATTCTGAAATACAAGTAACTATTCTGAGATACAATTGACGCTTCCTGAAATACAACTGGAAAAAGTGTAGTGAGTATTAACAGTTTGCGGCGAAACACTTTGATATCTCAGGGGGTTTTTGGATGAATCCACACTGTATAATATATTTTCAGCGAAGTAACGAGGCGAGTCAGACATACCAGTTTTATTTTTCCCAAAAACAGTCGCTAATTACCTGAAAAATTACAGATCAAAAACATCAACGTTATGCAAGGTGGATGAATCATTATAGCAAGGAAACGCAATATCCTATTATATGAGTCGGCAAAAAACCGGCCACTTGAAAATCCGTTATTTTAACTACAGCTCTTCCAGTTCTATTTCAGAAAGCGTCAATTGTATCAGAATAGGCACTTGTATTTTAGGAAGCATCTGTTGTTTTTCAGAATAGTCAATTGCATTTCAGAGAGAGTCAATTGTATTTCAGAATCATCACTTGTATACTTTTATTTCGGAAAGCGTCAATTCTAATTCAGTATAGTCAATTCAATTTCAGAATGTGTCCATTGTATTTCAGAATAGTCACTTGTATTTTGTATTTTAGATAGCATCGATTGTTTTTTAGTATAGTCACTTGTATTTTAGAAAAAAATGATTTTTTTTTCACAATAGTCAGTTGAATTTCACAAAGCGTCAATTGTATTTCAGAATAATCAATTCAATTTCAGAAAGCGTCAATTGGGTTTCAGAATAGTCGATTGAATTTGAGAAACCGTCATTTGGAATTAAAATGATATTTTCTGAAATACAAATGACACTTTCGGAAATTGAATTGACTATTCTGAAATGACGCTTTCTGGAATACAAGTGACTATTCTGAAGTACAAGTGACTATTCTGAAGCACAATTGATACTTTCTGAAATACAACTGGCAAATAATTGGTGAGTGTTGATAGCTTGCGGCGAAACTATTTGATATCAGGGGTTTTTTGGATGGGTCCACACTATATATATTTTCAGCAAAGAAACGAGGCTAGTCAGACAAACCAGCAAAATATTCTCAACAGCCAGAATCAAATGATTGACACCCTGTAGCTCGAAAACTGGTCATAGGATCGATCTGTAAATTGGACTGTGTAATAAGGATGCTAATATCTGAAACATATTAAATTTTCAGAAAAATTGGCCGAAAGCCATTTTCAGAAAAATTGGCCGAAAGCCATTTTCCGTACTAACTGTGCGGGGTCCTTTGTAACTTTATAGTCAAATATCTTATTATCCATCGCATGATGAATGCAGTTTTACCTTTTTAAGTAGAGTGTTTGTAGTACATGTTAATATGATAGTTGCAATTTGATCATTGGAATACTGCATTCATTGCCTCGAGGCAAATGACCGTTTTCAGAAAGAAATTTGAGAATGTATTGAGTTGATAATGCCCGTTTATTATGAACATTCAAGAAAATTTCCTCGAATTCAGAGATGATTATGTTAAATATAATATACGAATACAAAACTGACTGCACAATCAAAGCTTTCCTCTTTTTCCCCTACTCATACTTTTTATGAGAGAATAATTGTCTTCTATTATTAATTCATCATTATAAATTAAGCGCTGTTTACTACTGTACTTAGATGGAGTAAAATCCTCGCGGTGAATTGCATATACCCACTTTTTCGATAGTTCCTTGTCCAACGGGAAACTAAAAGCATGAACTTTTGGAACACCCACATAATTCCCCCGACAAAAGGGAACACAACACTTGAAAGACATTGTTATTTCGCCTATCACAACACAAAATATTTCACAAAAAAGTAATTTTTCCGCCAATTATTTTGATGAATAAACAACAAAAGAATTCTGGACCGCTTCATATAAAGACATACGTGAATCACCGAACATTAACACGAACTGACGCGTTAGTCGACAAGCGGTAAAACACTGGCCTCTCTTAGGTGACGTCACGAGCTGTTTACGTCAGAGTCTGCTGGCCATCTAATCTCGATGGTAACGAGTGAGCAAAGTATTTTGAAAGTACTTCTGAATAATACATTATTTCATTTGGAGTTGAAAACCGTGATAATCTGTTCTGTTCATCATCTGGAATACCTTGAATACATATCGAATGAGTTCTTGAAACAATACGATAAATGAAATCAAACAAAAATGAAAACTTTTTTAATGTTTTTCATTTTTCGATTTTTCTCAATTTTCCAGAATATGCTGTAATTTAAAAAGGCAAACAATTGAATTCTTAATCTGGTGGGTAATGCAGAAAAAAAGTCATAAATTCCCACGGAGGGGGGTTCATATTGGTGGCTCATGGTCTCTAGACTACAAACAGTCCAATCCCTTTCAGGCCAAGTACCGACTCACGTGCCCGCCGCTCAGGTAGTCCAAGCGCCCGGCGCGCCGATGCCCGGCATGCCGCAAGGATCCGTTCCGACCCCCATTCCGCCGGCGCCCATCGAGGAGCAGCACCAGCACCAGCAGCAGCTGGGAATGGAGGAGCGGATGGAGGATCACGTGGAGGCGGACTGGGCGGACTACGGGGCAGAGGAGGCGAAGTTGGAGGTCGAAGAGGATTCGAACGTCTTGGAGTCGTGTATGTATTTTTTCCTTTTTCTCAAAAACGCTTATAGTAGAGGATCCGAAGTCAGATCGACCTTCCCCATCTGTTTAATGAATGAATATTATCTTTTTCTGTGACGGGGAAAAAGTGTGAAATTTCATCTCTGTTGACAGGTTATGAAATGTAACTTTTCATAAATTACCTTTTTCCCACGGGAAAAAGTGATATATCGCATATATATACACTGTTGTGACGGATCTTTATCTCAGGGCGCAGTGTTGGGGTTCTGGCTGTCTCAGATTCAGTGTCCAAGAGATGAAAACCCAGAGATTTGAAGTGATAAAGACTAGAGTCACTGGATGGTATTAGTTTGATAAGAGTTCGGACACAGCTGAACTTTTGTCCTTTTCTATTTTCTATAATACAATGGTTTAAGTGAATAAAAGAATAAGACGTATATTATGCTCTTTGTCTTTTCAATTTCCCTAGTAGCGCCTGATTGTCAGATCCGATTTTAGAGGTTATATTTTCTGTCAGATCAATCATAACCGTAGATGAACAATGGATATAGGGTACAAACACCCACTTAAATTCACAGTGATACACTTCTAGCAGAACAACTGTTATATAAATGAAGAATGCATGTAACAACATTTTAATATAAACATGGATAAACTTATAGCTATAATTCCTTATTGTATCTGAAACTGTACTCCAGTGATAAGTATAAATTATGAAGTTATCAATATTAAATTGAAGTTAGGTATTCTCAATACACAGAAAGTAACATAAGTACGTTCAATTGAAGTATTCCTGAGACAATTTTAAGAAATAAAGTCTATATAAGCTTGTGTCCGGAAATGCTTTATTTTGGAGATACAGCTAGGGTGTTGAAATAATGAGAATGAATCATGTTTTGATGAACATTTCATAGGAAAAAATAGTTCATTTTGACGAGACCTACCAAATACTTGGTTCTCAGCAACTTCACTTAGCGCCCTAGGATCTAAGTAACATGGATCGATATAGAAAATATCTCCAAAACGATAACCTCCAGCGTAATTAAGGCCTTTATAATGATTCCCTTGATACATGAATATCTATTCACTTTTCACTGTTGAATTTTGAATTTGGTCGGCAACAAAAACGCCATATTCAATAATATATCACGTTGTAGTTTACTTGCTTTTCTCAGTTACGTTTTCAAATTTTCAATTTCATTATGTAATTTTGCGATCATTTCCTCTTTTTCCATGATTATTTTGTTTTGTATTTTGTGTGATGATAATATTTCTTGAAATCGTCTGCTTTGTAAATTGATGGAACAGCAGAATCTCTCAAACAGATTTTGAAATCTTCTGTTTGAAAATGGGCCTAAAATATAGTTTCATTCTAATCAGATGCTATTATAAGAAGTGAATTTTAATGAGTACCTCACAAATTTCGCTCGTCTTCAGATTGATTTTCCACCCAGGCCGTTTCATATCTCTCTTCCATAAGCGAATGGTTGATATTAGTTTTGGAAAATTGAATAAATGATATCCATTTCTTTCAGAATTGGCACAATTTATTACACAGCAAGTGATTTCCATAACTGCTTTTGTCTCGAAAGTATAATTATGAAATTTTATTTCAATTCTGACGTTTATAAAATTTATTGTCAAATTCAAACAATTTTGAATGAAAAAGCGCAGGACGACTATGGTGCTCTTGTCACAATGCAAGGTGTGTAACTTAATAAATCTAAACATTCGAAAACCCTCATCGTTGTCATTTCTGTGTCCGAACTCTTATCAAATTAATACCATCCAGTAACTATAATGCAGACTAGCCTTATTTATCTTCACAATAAATCTGAAATTTTACCTGGTATCAGTACCTGGGTATAATATGTGTCTTATACTAAATGACTGAATAATACAATTTGAAACACATTAAAAATTATAGTTACTGTCAATTTTTCCACATGCTGAACAGATATTCCTTTTTTGGTAATATAATGGGCATATACAATATTTCACCTACCTGAAATTTGACCAGGCGACAACACAAAGAATTTTGGTGTTGAACAAACCCAAAAGGTTCAAAAACTATCAATAATTGCAAAAATGTTGGTTTGCAGTAGGGACATGTGCCGAGTCCAAAAAGCGAATGAAATCTCGAAAGAGTTTCCTCAAATCGAGCAAGGACTAGTTTTTATACACATTCGATTGATGGGCGATTCGAATCATGCCGCAAAAAAGATCGGGGTACAAACATGGTTGCCTAAGCAAAAGGAAGAAACATTGTTTCATTTTATTGATTGCCCCTGGGCGTACCATTAGGAAGATAGACAGTAACAATTTTAAATTGTAAAATGCGGGATATTTACATTTTACATACGGACAATGACAAGTGACGTTTCACACATTTTAAAAACAATTATTTGAAATTGAAATTGTCAGAATCTCTGTCGGAGTGCATAATCATGAATCATGGAGCGCTACAAAATGGTCGTGCTACACTGTTGATTGCTTTTGTTGTGCTATAGTTCAGAAAAATAAGCCAATAACACCGTCTCCGAGAAAGAACTGCAAGTCCTTTTATCCACCATTGGACTTCACAGTTTCATAAATTAGTGAACAACCACTAAATTTCCATTTAAAAAAAATCATATAACAGAATTAGACTGCTAGATATTTGATTACTTCAAAAGAATGATAAAGATGCCTGCAACGCAGGTGTAATTCCTGTTGAAAACATAAAATTTCACGTCGATAATTTTCTGATTTTAATATAATGTAATATCTTCTCAATATTGATTCGTCGCCTTCTTCCTGGTAAGAAAAAAATAGGGTATTTATTATATACGGGAAAAATATTAGATTATAGCTCACGGTTTTTTATCTCCTTTCGCTATGCGTCGGGAGACAAGACAACCTGGAGCTAATATCTACTAGTTTTTTCTAGTATGCAAACGTTAGGTTGCCTTCATCCTAGTTATTTTCACCTTCTTGTTAAATTGCGAACACAGTGATACAGGGTTGCCTACAAGAAGTCTGTCCTGAATGACGGTTGTCGAATTTCAAAATATGTAATTTTATGGTGACTGTGAAGGTGCGACAAAGAGGTCTGAGACAAATATCTCGTACGATAGACAAAGACAGAGTTGAAGTTGCTCGCACTGTGACAGCAGGGTGTAAGAGTGCGCATGTTAGTAGTTCTTGAAAAAAATAGCGCTATACTAGTGAACAATATTTTGGGGCAATTGGTAGTATACGTTCGAAAGTAATGTTAAATATATGATTATTCGAAAGTTGATATGTTTGATAAATATAATAATTTGAAAATGTCATAAATATAATATATTAAATTATAAATGCTGCATTAGAGTGTACAAATGTTGTCACAAGTAAAAATCAGGAAGCCATGTATCGCCTGGAAGTTATTAAAAAAATAAAAAACCAACACTAAGGATATTTTGTTCAGTACAAAAATTTCATGATACTACACCATAAATATAAATATTACATTATAAATATTCTATGTCTGATTCATCTGAAGAATAACTTTGATTATAAATTTCGGTAGATATTTCTCTCTCACCTCTATGCCTCACATTCACAGTCACACTAAAATTTTATTTTTTGAAATTCGACAACTGTTATTCAGGACAGAATTTTTGCGGGGAGCCCTGTAAATTTATAGATTAAACAAGTAGGTGAAAATAACTAGGGCCAAAATACCCGTTTAAACCTGTCAACCCAATAGTTAGACCTGGAAAATATAGGCAACCCTACGTTTGCATATTGTATAGGCTTTGTACTTACGGTTGGTGTGCATTTTTTTCATTAAATTGATGCGTAGAAATAAAAAAGGGATTTTTGAATTTTCAATTAACATCCTGGCCAGGATTTTTGCAGGCAACCTATTTTTTTGGAATTTTCAACATGCTCAATTATTAATTAATTTTCACCCATTAAACAGACGAATGAAGGTCGACCTTACTTCGAATCTTAGACTTTTATAGGCCGCTGACCCAGACAAAAAATAGGGCAGAGTTTGCATACATCCACACTTTCCAATTTTTTCAAGCTACTTCCCAATTGTATAAAACCAAGTTTGCAGCTTCGAAAGACCGATCATCTTCGTAATCATTTGAGATAACCCTATCAAACACGGTATTGTTGAATTCGCTATAATAATCTAACCGATTATGGAATAAAATACAGGGTGCTCCATTCGAAAATTGGGAGTTGATATCATTTCGAGGTAAACCAGAAGATGCAACAAATTTTCGATATTGTGAAGAAGTACCCTCTAGTGAGCATTTTCCATGTTCCAAATTTCCGAGGTATAGCTAGAAAAACAAAGGAGAAAAGGGGATTACACCATGAGTCTGTGTCACCCGGTAGCGATTTTACTAAATATACTGCACGCTAGCACAAACCACGCCCACCATAATACGTCATATCTCCAAACATTACCGATATACTCGGAGTCAGCACATCGCACTAAATATACTGTGCTCCAATGCAATAATACACTTTTTATGATTTTGACACGAATTCGACTGAAGCTCTCTCGTTGTCAATCTCTTGTACGCAGTAAATTCATATACCCAAATGGTCTTCTGGTTAGCGTAAATTCATATACCCAAATGGTCTACTGGTTAGCGCTGTCGACTTTCAGTCTGTAGGTCCATGGTTCGAATCGCTGTGAACTTGAACTTTTTTTTGCAACTTTTTTTTTTCACTAATGTTTTTTTACTTCATTCTGGTTTTTCTTTTTCAGAAAATATTTGAAGTCAAATAGGTTAGTGCGTTTAGGATAAACAGTCTCATTTTATTCAATTTTGTTGAAGAACTTAACTTTTGAAATATATTATTAATCAATGTGTTTCTACACTCCATTCTGGTTTTCCTTCCTCAAAAATATTGCAATCAGGGATAGGTTAGTTCGTTAAGGATAAATAGTCTCTGAGTTTTGCCTAAGTACTTCGAAGATGAGATATTACGGTGGGCGTGGTTTGTGCTAGCGTACAGTATATTTAGTAAAATCGCCACCCGGTATAAGTGATTATTAGGGACCAGCAGGTCGAACTATTAATGTCTTCTGTGAATGAGAGTACTGTGGTCATTGGTCATATTGAATCTTATAAGGTAATCACTACTTACAAATCTGGCAGGATCGAAATATATGGTCCTAATTTTTAAGCAAAAGCCAAATTTCAGATTACGATGAATTTCGGCCGGTGGATTTCTTCTCCCTCTACATTTCGAAAAAAAAATCGTGAAAATCGCTCCATAAATGAAAAGGTTATGAGGGCGGCTCGCTTTCAAATGGGTCACCGGATATGACCCCAAATTTCGATTATGAAATGGGCATTTTTTTCCATTATCGTTTAGGGATTCAACGATACCGGGTTTGAAAGGGTTATTTCGAACGATCACGAAGATATTCGCATTCGAAGTTTCCATACGCTCAATGAGTGTGACAGAGAAAGAAGAAGAAGAGTTCGAATGCAAATATCTTCATAATCTTTCGAAATAACCTTATCAAACCCAGTATCGTTGAATTCATTATGATAATCCCTAACCGATCATGGAACAAAATGAAGGGTTGTGGTCATTTTCGTTTCAAACCGGAGGTACCTCAAAGCAAGTAGATGTGTCAAAAAACTTCAATTGAACTATAATTCAGAACTCCCAAATTTCGTTTCATCACTTTCAATGATGAAAAAGTAATAGGGGTGAGCCACATTGGAAAATCATCCGGTATAACCAGCAAAATCAGGAAATATTTCTGAAAAGTATATTATTGAACCCTTACATGCAAAAGTGACGCATCGAGTTGGTATTTGTTGAAATTGGGGCATCATGATTTTTCATTTCTAGTTCAATTTCCATAAACTTCAACGCACATATCCAGGTGTTTTGTTTAATGCTGGCATATTAGTTAAATTATTTCAAATTATCAGTTTTTTTTGAGAACCATTCTTCCCCAACATTTATAGCCTTTTCAGAACCGTGCTTGGGCGACGTTGTGGTTCACATAACCTCGATTCATCGGGTAGATAATGAATATTTCCTATCTCATTGAAGTTTGAATCTTGAATTCTTCGGATACAAGGGATGATGGAGATGGAGAATCGATTAAAATATTTCGGTAATAAAACAGCATTCACCATCATTTCACCGGCTCCTGAAGTAATTTTTTGATTTCCATTGATCTGTGCTGGATCCGCACTTTATGGAAAAAACGAGCCTGTGCCACTTGTTGCTCAGTGTTAGAGTGGTGTTAGGTCTTTACTTGGAGTAAAAATTGGATATTTCGATTATATTTCAATATATCTATATTTTTTTCTTCAAACTCTGATAGAAACATTGTTGAACGCTGTCACATTTTGGGTAGAATCATCTGATTTGACCTACTCGATTAGAATAGTCACGGCACACTCTGATGGAAAATCAAAAATTAAATTAAAATCAATATTGAAGTTTGAAATGTCATTTGTGTGGTGTCATTGGATTTAAATAAAAATGTAGAATTCGAAAATGCAATAATATACAGGGTGTTCCATTTAAAAATCAAAAGTTATTACCACTTCATGTGAAACTGGAAGTGAAAAATACAACATGTTCATGTCAAAACATGACGTTTATCAAGTTGATGGGTGATTCCAAATTTGAATCACTTACCTCTAAAACTAAAGAAGAAAAAGGGGGTGTACCATGATCCTGTTGAACCCGGTATAATAACATATTCACCAAACAAATTCATGACATTCTTTCGGATTCCAACTCGGATTCCAAGGAAAACGATACCACTACCATAGACTACAGAAGATAATCTATAAGACAGTTCACTCGTTAATTTTTCGACATCTAAGAGATCTCGCCGCACCCTCGCCACCGACTCGATTCTGCCGGCCATCGCCTGCCGGTGCGATACAGTGTGTCGCTCAGAGTTACCAGTTGTCGTTGGTTGACGAGATATACCGGTTGTCTATATTGTGTAGTAGTGTCTTGTAGTGTTGAATCGTACTGTGGAATATTTGTGAAATGCCTACTCATTGCTCAGTGGATGGTTGCCCTAGTATTGTGGGAAGCCCAGGTCTTTCGTTTTTTCGTTTATGGGAAATGTTAAAAGATCGAAATTATGAATATTTGTTCACACGTAACTCGAATCAAGATTGTTTAGAGAATTTCTTCGGGCAGATTAGAAACTGTTCTGGCAACGCAAAAAATCCAACACCTATACAGTTCTGCAGAGCATTTAAAAAATTATTTGCTTTAAAATACTTTGATTTCAGTGAAGGTGTGAACTGTATGGATGATGTGAATGAAGTTTTGTTAAGTTTAACGCCAGAGTTTACTGAAAAATGTACATATAACCTGGTTGCACTCGACAGCCAAAAAAAATACTCCTCTGAAGGTTTTCACTCATGATTACAAAAATCTCAAAAGTCCCGAAGGAAATGTCTAATTCATGTGAGGTTTGTGTAGATTTCAGCAAATCTTCAGAGAATTTGGTAGATGAAGAAGTACTTTTCTGCAAACTGAAGGCATATATTACCGAAAAATCATCATTTGGTGCTTTAACAGTACCTTCAAAAGATATTGTTGACCATGTCATATACATGGAGAACATATTCATTGAACACTTCAACAAAATCGGAGGTGACAAAGGAATTGGTCAGTATTTGAAACAACAATACTCAAAAGTTCCATTTTCACATCCATGTCAAGAATTTCCCTACAATTATTATATATCTTTGTATACAAGAGTTCGCATATACTTTACCTTCAAATTTTTTAATCAAGATATGAAGATTGTTAAAAGGAGCAAAACATTTAATGTTAAATTAAATATATTGAATCATCTCTAAAAGTTATCTCCGAATATTATAATTATATTCCATGAATATCATATCAATCAACATAATATTGATGTCTGTAAATATGTTTGTTAATGAATTACGTTTTTCAGAACGAATGTGTATCATTTGAAAGTGAATCATTAGAAACTATTATTCGATTGATATATATTGAACTCAGATCTCATTTCAAAATAATATCTCTGGATCAGAGACGAAACCTTACAAGTATATTGTTTTTGTATACAATTATCAATAATAAGATAGATTGTCCCGAAATTTTAACGCTAATTCCATTCAGAGTACCTTTCTGTCGTATTCGTTCCTCCCCTATGTTTCATATCTCCGCTAAGCAGTCAAGTAAATCCCCTCTTGTAGCCATGCTTCGACTAGCCAATCAATTCAATGTTCTGAATGTATTAGATTGGTCAAAAGCTCCAACTGCTTTCAGAAATGAAATTTTAAATACCATATTGAATACTGTCTGTAGGTTAATCGAGGAGGTGGTATATTCATTATTCCAAATTTTTTGGGATTTTCTCTCCTCGTTTCTATAAAATAAAAATATGAATATTATTTCAATATACGTGTAGTAAGGACAAATCAGATGATTTGCCCCAAAATGTCACTGCGTTTAAAGAATTTTCCTATCAGAGAGCCTAAAAGAAAAATTCACTAGCAGAACCGGTCCCGAAACGTCCAAAGATAAGTGAAAATTTGATATTTTTTCTATATACCTTTATTTCCCTTCTCCAAAAATTTTTTCAATACAAATTGTCACTGACAAGCTAGTGAATTTTTCTTTTAGGCTCTCTGATAGGAAAATTCTTTAAACGCAGTGACATTTTGGGGCAAATCATCTGATTTGTCCTTACTACACATATATTGAAATAATATTCATATTTTTATTTTATAGAAACGAGGAGAGAAAATCCCAAAAAATTTGGAATAATGACCATATTGAACATTTCCATTTAATCCTCTACTTTTCTGGTAAACCATATAAACCATAATATATACCTATTTATCGACATAATTTTAGTGTGGTCAACTATGATATTTTTTCTGAATCAGTGACATCAAGTATGTAATTTCATTGGGTTATCCATGTAATTAGGCCAGTAGGCCTGTTTGGATGAATAAATAAATGAATAAATAAATTGAGAAATTCTAAAATATCAGAAACCACTATCATTCTAATTTTGGATTTCTGAGTGAACGTTACTGAACGTCCCCTGTAAGAGCGCTAGAATTGGAATCGCCACGTATAACCGTCAAGCGCACCCCTACATGCCGCTACCGTTTGTTGACCCGATGATTTATGAGAAAAGCAAAAAACGCAATGTTCGAGCGTACCGACAAACGGATCCCTGAAAGTGAAATATCTTCTAGTCATTCAGTAATCTTTGCCACTACTACTGGTTTCATATGACAAAATACACTGTTCGCTCTCTAACGACCTGTCAAAAGTGTCAAATGACGTAATACTACAATGTTCTATTCATTTAGAGGTTAATATTCGAAACGATTTCAGCCTCCAACGAGCCCAAGACCTACGCCAACCTGCTCAAGTCTGGCGGCGCGGTGCCTTTCGCCGGCCCGCCCGCCCCCCAGCAGCAGCAGCATCAGCCGCCCCTCGCCGCCCCCTCCTTCGTCTCGACCGCGCAGCCGCCGAGGAGCGCGTCGCCGCCGCCCGCGTCTGGCGGCTACCAGCCGATGGGCGGGCGGCCTGGCGGGCCAAGCGGCCGCCCGGGCGGTCCCCGAGGTGCGGGGCAGGGGCAGTCGAGGATGCCGGGCAGGCAGGATTCGGTGGGCAGGGGCGGGTCGATGGGCGGCGGCAGGAGTTCGATGAACGAGGACGTGCCCTATGGTGAGTGAAGGAAACCCGTATATAATTATGATGATAATTAAAGAAAAAGAACTTCCTCTTTTTGATCATCCCCCTCCACTTCGAGCATGGACTACTCCAAAAGCAGTGGCGTGTCTAGGATTCATGCCCCTCCCTCGCGAGAATTGTGCAAGGGCCCCTCATTTTCAGGTTAATCTCTTCACTAATTTTGTTGTGAAGACATGTGTTTTACTCCTACGCTATAATCACCTACGACTCTACAATCACTGTGAAAAAATAACAACTTCTCAGAAAACTTGGAGAAATTACATTGAAATCTCAAAACAAACATATAATTCTTCGATATAATACAAAATATATGAAAAAAAAAAACAAAGGAACAAACTGAGATCAGTAGAAAAGGAGGTACATAAAATATGATCAAAAAATAAATAGTAAGTATAAAAAAATATGTATATAATAGAAATCAGTTGAAGTCTCTTCTTCTTGCCTTCCTTCGTTAATAAAAACGGATTTCTCCATTGCAGCTGCTTCTTCTGCTTCTATTGATAGTATTGCAAGTCGCTCTTGTGCCATTTTATTCCGAAAATAATTTTTGATGATTTTTAATTTGGAAAATGACCTCTCAGCAGAGGCCACAGTTACAGGTAAGGTCAGAAACAGTAGAATTCATAATTATCATGAACTCTGCAAACTCTCTTATATCTTTCAACTTCAATATGTCTTCTCTCAGAGGTAAAAGCGAAATTACCACGAGGAAAAGTGGGAGATGAGTCACTGGGGTATAACTTTTGTAGGCTTTGGGATGATTTGAACAAAGCTTCTTCCGACATTTCAACTAGCAGTTTTGGATTAAGAGAGTTGAATTTGCTGACAGTGGTATTCATGGCTTCAAATCTATTTTTGATTTGACAGAGAACGATGTCAAGAGTCTTATAGTAAATGTTTACTCTGAAGAAATGTTCTCTTTCAGAAAATAAATATTGTGTGTTGGGTTCCCCAAATTTTTTTTTCGATGTAATGTTTCTTTTCTCTTGAAACTGGTTGAATAATCCATTTTGCGGCGACATTAGTAGCTTCCGTCTTCAGTTGGTCGTAATCATCTCTATATTCGGCTAGCGACAAATAATAACGTGCACCTGTACACACTGCACACAGAGGGTAGAAGCGTAGAAGGTAGAATATTTGCAGCACATCACCACAGTAAAGTAAGAGTCCTAAGACTGGGGAATATATTCTGAAAACTTATCCGCGTTATCGAGCAGGTCACGAGAATAACAATTTATTTCAAACATATGGTTACCGATTCCGCGTGCCGCGTGGGCCCTTCGGGCCCCCCTTGACGTCTGGACCCCCGCACCGCGGGGTTTCGCGGTATAGTAGAGCCGCCACTGTTCAAAAGATTTTGATAATGATTATTTTTTTCCATGACAGCAAAAATGTTTGTAATTTCATCTCTGTTGACAGGTTATAAAATGTCACTTTTCATAAATTACTTTTTTCCACATCCGGGTGACACAGGAGACATGCAACTGCCCCCGTAGTTTTTTTATTTGGAGAGATAAAAATTTTAAATTCACATTGGTTATATTATCAATGATGGCGCTTTCCTTGAAACCAATGACAATTTTTGTCTTATGTCTTATGCGCTTCAAAAATTCTCTATTCAACAATGTATCACAATCTGATATTCGTTCATTAATTGGCTGGTAAATTGCATTTTATTGAAATACATGAAGTTGGCTGTGGCCCGAATACAATGACTTTTCGATGCTTGATAAGCTTAACTCTTTCAGGTACAGGAATTTCGAAATATAACACCCCCTAGATGTACAGCTTTATTTTTTTTCCGATTTTCAAGAGATTCATTAACAAACTAACTCCAAATGACTCAAAAGATACGAACAAATATAAAATAATTTCAGAATTTTTCAATTTTTACAAAAAAACGGTGGGTCAAAATCTACCCCACCATTCCATAAGGTTAAAAATTTCATGAGAATCGACTCATTTCAAATCACTGTGAAACGTCTGCAAACATGTTTCGTTCTTTGCAAGACAGAGTGAAACATACAACCAGTTTGTTCCAACTTCAAACTTTCCTGAATTGCAAAGAGCATTATCTCCTTCGACTTGTTCGGATAGGTTGATGAGCACACTGTGTTTTTTTAATATTCAAAGAACATCGTGCGTTCCTAGGGAGGATAGGGACAGGAGGTAGGTATTGGAATTTTTTTTGAACTTTTGGAGATTATATGTTGCTGGGAATACTTCCACAGGCAATGAATTCCAGAGCCTAGCCGTTCTATGGATGAAGGAGTCTTGATAAAGTGCTGTTCGACATCTTTCGAGTTTGACAACGAAAGGATGTGCTGACTGGGCTTGTCTAGTTCGTCTGATTGGTATTGCTAGTGAAGGGATGATAGCAGAGATTTCCGAAGAACATTTCCCGTGGAAGTATCGATAGAAAAGTGAAAGGTAGCCGACTCTTCTCTCATTACCGCGCTTTGACTGAGTGTTTTTCTCTATTTGACTCGTCCATTCGATTGATGTTCTCGATGAAGATACTGATATTTATTGATGACTAAATGATCAACTTCTCCATTGATAATTTTGAAAGATATAGAGTATTCTGTGAAGAATAAATGAGTTGACTACAGCGGCACCCAAGGAAAAGGTTTCATGAATATCTGTTCCTTTATATGTCTTTCCAGTCGCCTGATAATTTTGCTTAGTTTATAGATTGCTCTGGAAAACTATGTGATTCAATAATTTGTCCGTGATGAGCCACTCCAGAGGTTCTATTGAAATCTTTTAGCTGAACGATCTCATCCACTCCACACCATTTTTTTCTATATCCCTGGTTTCAACTCCGCGATAGGGGTAAATTGAATTCGACATCATTTTCCTCATCATTATCCTTGAAAAATGTCTTGGTCATGTTGTATGGTGGGACAAATTTCAAACAGCGTAGATTTTCACATTTTGTGAACGAAAAATAAACATATAAGTTGGAAAAATATAACAAGTAGGTTACCTATGTTGCCTAGATAGTATATAATGCAACAAAAAATTTAATAACATGATAAGCATAAAATTTGCAGCCGCAATTCGATAGGAGAAAACCGAACAAGTTTTGAGTTTATTCTATTCACTAATAATGTATTGTTTTATTCGCTTCAGCTTAGAACATATGATTCAAAAGAGTGAGTAATATGGGGCGGGAGAGGAAATAAACCGTCGTACCACAAATCATAAGCCCATTGCAGAGCGGGATATATTTTGTCCCAGCATACCTCTAACTCCAAGAAATTCGTGGTTCAAATTCTGCACCAAAGTACTTGAAAGAGTTAAAAATCCAAAGATCATCACTTGAAAGATATTATCAGAATACTCTCCATACCTTAATCGGTCCCAGAAGGTTGCCAATAATTTCATTGAGTTCAAAAAAATCATCCGATAATATCTCACGATATTAGGACGATACATCAATTATTACAACGATATTATGGCTACATGGCAAAAATGAAAGACAAATAGTTTCTTCACAAGTAGCCAAATGAAAAAAACTGAGTTTCTATCTTATTTTTCTCAATATCGTGAGTTATTTTCGGATGATTTTTTCAAACTCAATGAAATTATTGGCAATCTTCTGGGACCGATTAGAGTAGGAAAAATATTCGGATAATATCGTCTTAGTAATGATCTTTAGATTTCTAAGCCTATCAAGCATCGAAATGTCATTGAAATCGGGTCACTGCCAACTTCATCTATTTCAATAAAATGCAATTTAACAGCCAATTGATGAACGAATATCAAATTGTGTTGAATAGAGAATTTTAAGGCATAGTTCTAGGCTATAGTTCCAAAAAAATAAGCCAATAACACCGTTTCCGATGACGACCTGCAAGTCCTTTTATCTTCCATTCGACTTCGCGGTTATGTAAATTACAAAACAACCACTAAATTGGCAATTTTTGAAAATCAAATCACAAAATTAGACAGATAGATATTTCATTATTTCTAAAGAATGATGAAGATGCGTGCAACGCAGGTGTCATGCCAGTTGACAACTTCAAACTTCACGTCGATAATATTCTGATTTTAGTATAATGTAATATCTTCTCAATATTGATTCGTCTCCTTTTTCCTGGCAAAGAAAAAAATAGGGTATTATACACGGGAAAATATTGGATTATAGCTCAGGGTTTTTTATCTCCCTTCGCTACGCGTCGGGAGACAACACAACCTGGAGCTAAAATCTACTAGTTTTTTCTATTGTATAATAAATAACTATCATTGTACACGGGAAATATATTAGATTTTAGCCCATGGTTTATTTTCTACCACCGCTACGCGTCGGCAGACAACACAACCTCGAGCTAAAATCTACTACTTTTTTCCCTTGTATAATAAATAACTATTTATGTAATGGATAAGGTGAATGTTCATGAAATAATCCCTCTACAGCACTTATCAAAAAGCAGGATTCACTTTCTGTCTATGCAACATACATAAACAGACATTTTGGACAAAAAATAGAGGTCCAGCAGAATAATAAAAAAAATGGAATAGAGAAACAAATAAACTGCCCCACATTCGAAGTGAGACAAAAAATGTATACACTTGTAGTAATTTTTTGTTGACTTGCTGAAAATGGGTCTGGAACTATTTTTTATATTTTTTTATGTTCTGGTAATGAAATGGTGGATTTTCGATATTTTATGCAATATTTATGCATTATAAACGCAGATTTTTTTACAAAAAGACATTGCATCTCTGCAAATTATTATTACCGGTGTTGAAGATGGTCAAGTTGTCATAATACCATCGGAATTTTCATATTAGACTAGTTTGAATTCTTTGTGATAATGCGATTTGTTTCCATTGGAGTAAGTTCGAATTAATTCACGTCTTTTAAAATAAAATAATCATTTGAATTAAATCACTCAATTGATTCTTATGGATTGATTCATGCCAATCCTGAATGATAATAATAGTATTATTAATTGATTTTATTTACAACCATATATGTAATGTTGTCAATACTAACGGCATCGAAGGTTGGGAAGTGTCACATTACACACCTCTACTTTGAAAAAAAAGTTGATGGTTTTACGAATAGGAAACGTCGCGTAGAGAAATCAATATCATTATGTTGAATCTCATCAAAAGTTGCCATTGACAAGTATTTTCAGTTTTCATTTATCTCTAATAGTAACGAAAAAAAAAATTGAATAGATTTTCCATAAATGAACTTTTTTCGTCATAACACAGAAACTAGCAACAATTTTGAAAATTTTCGATGGCCATTGTTGGGTATTCTGTGCCATTGGTATAACTCTCGGAATTCCCATTTAACCGAATTCGTTTCTCCTCCCGTTTCCGAGATCCCCATGCTGTGCAACCTTATCTTGGTCACACTGTATTGTACGTTGTTCTCTATCTCGTATTTGTATCATCACTTCAGATCTCATATTGTATGAAAATTTGAGCAACACATAGCACATTGGTCAAATTACTAAAAAGATGTTACACATGATTGGATCACTATTTAAATGCAGGGAATATCTCATACTTCCTGTCGATATTTGGGTTTCTGATACATGTAATGAAACGACATTTCAAGAAATGCAAAGATTGCGAAACAAAGTTATTAAAGTATTATTCTCTATCAACTACTTAACACTAGAGTTCCTAAATGTACTTGACACTGCTGTTTTGACGTTTTTTGTATATTAGAGTACGGACAATAGACAAGCAGTGACGATCAAACATAACCACAAACGATTTTGAAGCAAATCATATGTTTTGCCAGACAAGGACCAGAATATGTTTTTCGATTAGATAAAGGATCCTCGCATCTTCTTTCCTCCACAAGTCCTGGGACGAGTACATCCATACATCTTTCTCTGTCTCTGGTTTTTGTATGAGAGTGCATAGCGTCTCCTCAAGTGGGTAAAAGGGTACGACAAATTGATTAGAAAATTATTTCTTCTCGAAATATTGAATGATAAGGCTGAAAGACCTCAATGGAGGTCGACATCAAGTTGGTATGTACATATATACCAACGAACTACATGTATTTTTCTATGAAATAAGTCTCTTATATGTAGGTATATATATTTTTTTATCACAAAAGTTCAGAATGTGGTAAAAACGGTAAATTTCAAGCAATTAAACATTTTTACTAATATTATTCAATTTGTTATTCAAATCTTCCATTCGGTTTCAAAAATGCAAAAGTTTCCCATAGTATTGTTCATCGAAACAATGAATTTTGCTCAAAATTGCCTGGATATTTGCTTGTTCAATTTTCTTGTATTTCTCTGAAGATATTTGCTGATTTTGTTTAGAATCTGAAATAATGTTCAGGTAATAGTTCTGAATTTTGCTAACTCTGCCTTTTGTACCTGAATCTTTTTGTTTTAACTTATTTTCCAACTCTCTATTAGTTCTTCTATTTGTTTCCTGAATTCCTCACTCTCTTCCATGCTTGTTGGTTCTAGATTGGAATGAGGTTCTTTTCGATACTCTTATTGTATGTATTTATACCACATTGTAATCAAATCCTGATTAAAGGTATATTGCTTAAAAATAAAAAAATTGCAGAGGACAGGCGGCGTTCCCAAAGCCAGACCTTCAACGACGTCAACCAGCTGTTCTTGGGCAATTTGCCGCACTGCGCGGGCGAGGACGACCTGCGCGCCATCTTCGCCGACTTCGGCGCCATCTTGGACCTGCGCGTGCACAGCAAGCCGTCCAACAACGGCAAGGTGGGGGGCGCGCCGGTCGGTCGGGCGCCGCCCAACTACGGGTTCATCACGTTCGAGACACAGCAGGGCGTACAGAATTGCCTGCAGGCGAAGGTGAGTCGGGGCAAAAAAAATGACATTTCATCTCTGTTGAGATATAAAATGCCAATTTTCATAAGATACTTTCTTCCCACTGGAAAAAAGAGAGTTTCCTCTCCGATACCTATACAGGATGTCAGAATTTTATTTATTTATTTGATACAAAATATACACAATACACAATAACCCATCCAGTAACAATAAATTCAGTAATCCTAATATACCAGTATAACAAAATATAAGCTAGCTATAGATTGTGTACAATTTGTACAATAATAGCACCAAAGTGAGTTAACACTCGTGCTACAAAGTAATATCAATAAATCTAAGTACAGTTGTGCACAGAGACTTAGGAAACAGAGTGGTAGAGTGAACCTATTGATTTTCTAATATTTTGATAAATTCAAAGTGATTTTCGAAAATAATTTTTTTTGATTCCCTGGAAAAAACTGTGATTTTGAATATGTTTCATCCTAAGGGGTAGAATATTACAAATTTTAGGCAATGTGTAGGTTAGAAAACGATGACAAACATTTTTATTTAATTTTGGAGTGGGTAGCAATTTGTTGGTTGTACTTCTAGTAATATAAACTGTGGGAACATAATTATGGAATATCTTATTTTTGAAAGCATACATACATAGACTGTGAAAGTATAGTGATCGAATATTATTAGGATCTTCTGAATATATTAAATTAGTGTGAAATGATCTTTTTTGCTTCGAAATTATTTTCAGAATATAGTTCTGTATTACGTTTAGTTTTTGCAAAGAACTTTTATACATTGCTCCCCACACATACATACCATAGCTGAAAAGTGATTCAGCTAGAGATTTGTAAATTAATATGAGTAGATTTTTTGATATAAACCTACATAGCTGGTAGAATTTATATATTAGCTTCCTCAATTTTTTCTGTTAGATAATCAATATGATTGTTCCATCTCAAATTTTTGTCAATAATTATGCCCAAATATTTGACCTCGTTTATTTCTTTAATCTCCTCTCCTGGAACTTCAACTCTGGAAAAATTTTACTAGCATTTGATGATAGACGATACATGCTCAACCATTTATGAATTGATTCCATGCTGATCTGGATAGAATTTTTTGTTTCAGACCATGTATTTTCATTGAAAATAAGAACCGTATCATCAGCATATGATATAATTCTTGCTTTTGTTTTCAAACAGAGCAGAGAATTTATGTAGGCTTGAAAAAGTATTGGACCTTGAACGGTTCCTTGGGGGACCCCCAATCTTATTGTCATCGTTTCACTCAATGTGTCATTAATTTTAACACATTGCTCCCGATCAGTCAAATAATTGCGAAAGTCACCCAACACTGCCCCACGTATACCAAAACGCTCCAATACGTTCAGAAGTATTGCAATAGCGAATGCCTTGGCCAAGTCTAGGAACACTGCAATACATTGTTTTTATCAAGTCCCTCTGTAATATTTTTGATAACATGGTACATGGCATCAGTAGTAGCTATACCAGCACGGAAACCATACTGGGAATCATGTATAATTTTATTTTTCTGCAACCGACACAAAAGTCGTCCATTTTGATACCAAAATTAGCTCTTAAATTGACGTTTCTATTACCGACACAAAAATAGGTATGTTGCTAGGCAACATATTTGGTTCCTAGGAGCTAACGTTGAAGGATCTACTGGACGTCATCAAGAATAAACATCATTGTGACGGTTGGTTATTTGGGTTGAGACGCATACCTGATTTGTTTCCGATTTCAGCAGATTTGGCATTTCATACCCATGCTGGAGATATAAATACACCTTATTATAGTTTAGTATTGGAATAATAAACATCTCAGCTAAGTATTTTTGTTTGATCAGTATTTCATTCGATATTCTCGGGATGGATAACTTGTTTTTGAATAATCACGGCAAACAATCAAATAACGATATTGTTTAGCTTCTCATTTGATTATCAAGTCAACCACAGTGTAGTATGGGGAGGAATAAATAATCACTATCATCATTGTTGATATGCTCACTAACCTAACATTTTCCACATCTTGTTCCTATAGCTGGCACTGGCGCGGTATTTGCCATTAGAGCACCTGGTCCATACACAAATATGTCACTCTGTGATTGTATTTATATTGAAACTACAATTCGAACATCCTTGAAAACCTAATCTGCTGTTAATGCTGGTAAAATATTCTTACCACATGGATTATTTGTCAATATTTGTTGCATTGCATACATATGGTACGGCATTGGTGGTTACTTCACACGTTTATTTTAGTTAATTGTTTCGGTTGCAGAAAAAATAGCATGTTTCATTCGGATCAAAAGTGACTTTGTTCGACTCGCAAATTTTGCTTTCGCTCGGCTTCGCTAAACGCTCCGCCTCGCAAATGCAAAATACGCTTGTCAGACAAAGTGTCACTTTTGATCCTAATAAAACAATCTACTATTTCATCAAAAAAATTTTGCTAACCGGGATTTTAGACATTCTTCAAAGATCTTACCAAAACTGTTTATTATGCTGATAGGTCTGTTATTACTAATTTTAGTTTTGTCACCAGTTTTATGAATTGGTGTAATTACAGAAGATTTGAACTGAGTAGGTACATGTCCCTTTTGGATAATCAGATTGAATAAATATTTTAGGGGTTGCAGAATTTATGGGTGATTCCGTCTACGCCAGAGGAAGTGTTATTTTTCAATGTAGATATATGTTCTATCAATTCATTTTCTGTTATTGGATTGAGAAACATGGAATTGGGATTTATTTCAATATTTGCATAGTATCATAGTAGTATCAATATCTTCAACCATTTTTAAGCCGACGTTACTAAAATAATTATTACAATAATTTGCCATCGATTTGTTGTCACTAAATAAAACACCATCTTCATCAGCGATGTTATTGTTTTTCTCATTGGTAGCTTCTGATATGAGTTGGTAAGTTTTTCTTAGATTATTTTTATTGTTTTCAATGTGTTTGAGATAATAGTTATTTTTATTTAGTAGTTTATTCAGCTCATTTCTGAATAAGACCGACAAACTTTGTACACGGATCTCTCACCTCATTTTGAGGTGAAAAGTTCCTTTCAACGTATGTCCTGAAATGCATCCTCACTGAGATACAGGGTGTCGAAAGTGTGAAAAAAGTTGAGATCTCTATGAATATCTCCAGAACCCCTGTAGCAAAAAAATTGAAACTTGGTACACCAATCCATATTAATCAGAGTTATCACAGGGAGTTTTCATTTTTTAATTTCGTCAACCAGTGGCGTAGTAAGGGTCGTATGTCGCCACATTTTCCTTCAAAGTTTTTCTCAGACAGATGAATTATTAAATTAGTGAATGACATCAGTTAGGATTATCAATACTCAACCTAAAAGTAATAACATTCTGCATGCCTAAATATAGAGGTTAGGAAGATATTTGCGAAATACTCAAGACATGTCTTGAGGTAAGTGAGTAGAGGCCTTATTTGCTGCGTATCATGATCGCATAATGCTGATATTATACGAGATATCGATATTACTTTTCAACCTCCGGAATATTTTTGAATGTCGAAACAATTGAAAACATTGTGTGGGTGAGTCAGAAATAAATCGACAACCTCGAGGTAAATAGTCGTAAGCCATCTTAAATTTGTCAGAACCATCAAACTATTGAAACAACAGCTTTCAATTAAAGGTAACCATGGCAACGTTTTCAATATGTCCAACAGTAATAAATTGTAATCATTTTAATCGATTATTTGGCGTATAGAATATTTATGCGCTAAAGGAAATACAAAAATTAAATTCGAAGCAAATGTTCAAATGGACCTCCATTTTTGTTCAATACATAATTGACATCTTCTGATCATGGACTGTCGCACGTTTTGGAAGATGCCTGGTATATTCTGGATTACCATGCCTGCTGCTAAAATTCTAGCAGTTAAATCTTCTACAGATTATACAGGTGTAGAATAGAATAGGGATTTGAGGTACCCCCAAAGGAAAAAATGTAGTGAAATCAGGAGAACGTGCAGGCCAATGAACGGGACCATATCTACCTATCCACTGATCAGGGAAATTCTGGTCGGTCAAGAAACTGACGAACTGTATGCTGGGAATGGGCCGGTGCTCCGTCGTGCTGATACCACATTCTTTTGATGGACTTATATAGGTATTTCTTCAAGTGAATCAGGTAGAACTCCATCTAGAAATATTCTGTAGGACTGCCGATTCAAACAAGGAGGAAGAAGATATGGTCCACAATATTTTATTTATTTATTTATTTACTTTACTTATTTTACAGAATGAATCCAATTACAAACTAAGATATATATGACAATACGAAAGTAGCATGCATAGTGTTATACATACATATGAGTATGTAAATTTACTACTGCCGGATACAAAAGAAGAACGATCTAATTTGCTGAATCGATGTATTGTACAATGGTTATTATAATTCCTACAGATCCTTTGTAATGGAAAATTTGTGCGTGGGGTTGGCAAGTAAAAGGTTTGATCTGTTCGGGACGCAATGGGGAAGACCACTGATGGAAGAAATCCGTGCAAACCTCTTTCAATCGACGAATCATGATTTACGTTTGATGTACAATCAATATTATGAGTTGAAGTTGAAGGGAATCGAATCTATAGCGTATTGAAATCAGCATATTTCATTCGATATTTCCAAAAGCCAAATATGAAGGTGGAGCCGTGACGTATTAGTCCCGACTGTAGCTATCTCTATCTGATACCTCGCCATTCTGCAGTGTTGCAGTGTGATTGGTCAGCTCAAGGACAATAGGCGTGTTGGGACTAATACGTCGCACCAGTCACACCAATCAATTGACACCATTTCAAATGGCGCAGGAATTGTGTGTTTTGAAATAGTCATATTCTCATTTATTTTTTTCATCGTCCAAGCATGAATGAAATATTTCAAAATCAATTCACTGGTAGTTTTTCAGTATAGAGTTCAGGATGATGTCGTTTTAAAAAATCAGTGGTCTCCCCCATTCTTGGAACGTGAAACTGGAGTTTATATGTCAAATAATGGTAGTCGCATGGGTTATTAATTGTTTTGAAAAGAATAACATCAGAATGATACTCTCTTCGAATTTTCAGACTGTTGAATGAATGTCTCTCAAGTAAAGTTCTGTGTGAAATGCCAATTTCAGGATATTCGCCATCTATTCTGAAAGACAGTAATTTTAAAAAACGCCGCTGAATTGATTCGAGGCTGTCGATATGAGTAATATTATCGAAGCATATTCCAGCTTCGATCGAACAAATGCATAATACATGCTCTTGAGAGTCGCGATGTCTCTAAAATCTCTAGAATACCGAACAATACAGCCATAAGATTTGCTGGCAGCTGACAAAATTCGTTCGATATGAGGTACAAATGAGAGTTTTGGATCAAATACCACCCCCAGATCTTTGAACGTTTCTGCTCTCTGTAAATCAGCATTATCAATAGCATAGCTGAACTCAATCTGAGATTTTAAAGCAAAGGACATTATACTGAATTTCCCGGGATTAAGAAATAGCTTATTGGAAATACACCATTCATTGATTTTATCTAAATTATCTTGTAATAACTGACAATCAGCAGTATCTGAAATTCTGTGGAATACTTTCATATCGTCAGCATACATCAAACCATTAACATTAATACCATCCAGAATGTCATTGATTAATATGTTGAATAGCAGAGCACCAAGATTTGACCCTTGAGGTACCCCAGATTTAGGATGATATTCAACTGACCTATGACCACGGCACTCAACATATTGCTTTCTTGATGATTCTCGACAATACCTGTCGTACTTTTAACACCCTGTATCTCAGTGAGGATGCATTTTAGGACATACGTTGATACGAACTTTTCACTTCAAAATGAGGTGTGTGCTCATTTCCATAACATTCAAAAGATCTTCACAAGTCTTATTGGAAACACTCTTTTCTTGCCTTTTTTTCGTCAAAATATTTAATCAGCTGGTCTTAATAAATACGATCCATAAGGTCACTTTTTATGGACATAATTGCCAAGTCTCTTTTGTGTCATAGTTGATCGTAAAAAAGTTTTTATAAAGATTGTAATTTTGAGAGAGATCTTTTTCCACCACTAGCTATGGACTCTACCATTATTTACTCCTTTTCAAGGCGTAAAGTGTGTTTTTTCAGTAGAAAGTAAATGAAAAGTTGAGATAGGGATATTTGCGTTTCGACACAAAAAAATCCCAAAGTTGAAAAATCTCAATTTTGAACACCCTATATCTCTGTAATCATTCCCGCTAGACCCCAAGTTTGATGTATTGATGAAATCAGCTCTTCAGGGAGAATCTAAAAATACTATGAAATACAGGGTGTTCCATTTTAACATTTGATGTAGATCGTTTGTTCCGAGCACCCTGTATTTTCTGATGCAACGGGAAAAAAATTCTGAAAAATCACTGGATGATTTTTCGAATTTTCAAATCGCTTCAAAAATAAATGAGCTAGAGGGGGGAGGAATTTCATTTCGTGCGCTCCAAGAGATGAAAAATAAAAAAGTAAATGAACGCTATTCCATTACATTGTATGAAATCTGATGTTATGGAATTCATGAGATGATTAGATGATCCGTGTCCACTATTTACCTAACATTTACTCGTATATCGCAACATCAAGCTAACCAAAGTGGTAGCCATTCATAAAAAAGGTGACATAAATACCATTGACAACTACCGACCAATATCAATTATACCAGTATTAGGTAAAATTTTTGAAATCATTATTAAAGAACGCCTAATCTCTTTTTTCACTCGACATAACACATTATAGGAAGATCAGTTTGGCTTTAGACAAAACTGCTCTGCTGTTCAACTCAACTCAAAAATTAGTGTCGGACATTGTCAAGGGCTTTGAAGATGGTCAACATACACAAGTGAATATTTGTGACTTAAGCAAAGCTTTCGATTGTGTCTCACACACAGTCCTTTTGCTCGAGCTCCATTTTTACGGTGTACGAGGAACTGCACTGAAATTAATTGAATCATACCTGAATGGAAGGAAACAAGCTTATTTAAATAACTCATATTCAGAAATTGAGAATAACTCGCTTGGGGTCCCTCAGGGTTCTATCCTTGGACCACTTATGCAGATGATTGTACTCTTTATGTGTCTGACAAAAGCATTGACCAGTTGGACAATATTGTCCAAGATTTCTCCACTAAAGCTGAAACGTGGTTTATATCTAACACTTTGAAACTCAATGATAAAAAAACTCAAAGCACCTCAAATTTCTACTAATTATACGGTTGCCAGTACAAAAGTTGAGCTGCTTGGTATTTTCATGGATAACAATTTGATGTGGACAGCTCATATTGAACATTTAAGTAAAATATTAAGCTTAAATACTTTCCTATTGCGAAAATTGAGTAGATTTGTTGCCCAATAGTTTTGAAAACAGCATACTTTGGTCTTTTTCATTCTCATATCAACTATGGCGTAACTCTCTGGGGAAACGCAGTTGATTCCATAAGAATATTCATACTACAAAAAAGAGCTTTGAGATTGATCTCGAAAGTTGAGTATAGAGAGAGTTGTCCATTATTCAAAAATCAGGAAATACTTCCTTTACCATGTATCTACATTCTCAATTGTTTGCTGGAAATTCATAAAAACAAAAATAATTATCAAACAAATGATGCCTTTTCTGATTATACAACAAGATATCGTGATCTGTTTCGAACAACTAAACACCGTTTAATGATATCAAAACGTACAGTCGTATTAAAAAAAAGCGTACAAGTATATTGGAGGGAGAAATTAACGTCATCCTATTTGCGTAAAACGGGCTATCGGGAATGAATGTTTACCAAATGTTGACAGTAGAGTAATCATAGGTTCTCAAAAACACAAAGCATTGACTGAGCCAATTTTACACAACGAGAACTAGAATGCCGAAATCTTCAATGTTTAATACTTGTACGCTTTTTTATTGAATACGACTATAACTCCAGAGATGTTGAAGTTTTGCTTCTATTCGGAGAGGGAGTACTTGGAGGCTGAGGTAGACTTTACTTAAGCAATTGAAATGAATTAATAAATAATAAGAATAGAGACAACGATCATATCATTAAAACCCGAGAACGCTCGCACCACGGTCGTTTTGCCGCCAAGCATTAATTTTGCCCCTCCCACATTTATTTGGGCCGGGATTTTACGACCCGCTCACAAGTCTTCCTAAGTCGAACCGGCGGGCCAGTTCACGTTTGGTTTCGGTCAGAGGGTGTTGTTTGGAGCTGAAAATTGACAATTGGTCGTTTCCACCGACGCGCGAGCATTTAGAGGTTTGTACCAAATTATTCATTGTCTACAAGGAAATTGGGGGTTATAATCAAGTAAATGTGGCAAAATCAATTAGATAATAGTAGATAACTCTTTATAGATACTGAATACCTTTAATAAACAGCACAAATACTGACGAATTTTGGGATTTTCTATAGTCGGTCAAAACGACCAGCCGCGAGCATCAACGTAACTTTTCATTTTTGTTCAGAAATATACCAACTTTGTGTTCATAGTCGATAGAGTTTTCATAAGAAGTGTATCAATAGCTGAATACCTTTGATAAACACCACAAATACTGACAAATTCGGGGATTTCCTATAGTCGGTCAAAACGACCAGCCGCGAGGATCAACGTAACTTTTTAAGAAGATGTGAAAAACCAAAATCAGTATATAATAGCATATTAACTTCCACGCACTACATTCCCACCTATATCACTGGAGACCAGGCTTCACCCATCATAATTTTAATGTGTAATTTTATATTGTTTTTGTATTCGTTTTTGAATTCTTTTTTAATATTCTCTTTTACCCGTATTGCTGACTAAACACAAATGAAATTGATATTTTATAACGTGAATGAATAAATAAAGACAACATCAATGAGACGTTTTTAGAACTTCGATTCTCTTTTTTTAGACCCTAATTACTACTAATACAGATTTTCTTTCCAGCCGATCTACTACCCGAAAGACGACAAAAACGGCACTCTCCTGAACGTCGAAGAAAAGAAAACGAAGGACCGCCCGTCGTACGGCGGCGGCCGCCCCAACACAGACGGCAGGGGCGGCGGCCGGGGAGACAACGGTGGCCCGCGGCGCGGCGGCATGGGCGGTATGGGCGGATCTACCCGGGGCGGCCTCGGCCCCAACAGACCCAACGCGTACAGCAGTCGGGGCGGCGGCCCGCCGAATCGCGGGCCCAACGCCTACAACCGGCGCTAACCTCTTTCTGCCCCCCTCCTTTCCTTTTTTGTCCCCCTAAGCCGTTGTTTCTTTTACTTTCTGGTGTCTGACCGTGGAAATCACGTTGTGTGTGTGTGTGGTGGTGCTAAAAGATGATTGGGCTGGAGGTGTTGTGATTGTGAATGCGCATGTACAGCATCAGTTTGATCTAGAACAGGGGCAGTCTTGGAATATTGAATTAATATGTCCATTGCCTACTGAAAGTCATCAACTCTAGGAATCTTTTCATTATTCCAATTTCAGTTTATTTCGTAATCATTTGAATGGCCTAGTGCAAAAAGGGTATAAATGCAATATGTTGATTCTCCTTATCATAACACAATTTGAACTGAGCGCGGTTGCCTTTGCCCAGTAAATATACTCACTCACAAACTTTGTGAAAATGATTTCTGCATAAACGAGTCAAGTGCCTATACTTGTATCGGTTTTGCACTAACTTCAGATTTCTGTTTTGTACATTTCACAGAAGATAGTCTTGTTTATTGCGTTATTTTCATAAACAATAGGGTTCAGTCCAGTTGTTTCATCAGTTCAGTAGATTTGTGCCCCACACAATTCTATTGTACTAATTTTGCTCAATTATGTATCAACAATCAACTTTAGATACTCATTAATCAGCAACCATTATTTGATACTTATACCCTTTTCATACTAGACCCTTCAATTATAACAAACAATATCTAATGATATAGCAAATTGGATATTATCAAGAGCGGGCTGCAAATTTCGACGTCAATTGATAAGGAAATAACATACAGAGAAGTGCACAAAAAACGGCCAGGATCGTAACTTCTGAATTATTCGAGATATGGTATTGGAAATTGGTGGGCAGCTAGTATACCAAATTGCTCAAACAATTTTTGTTCTACTGTCTGGTTTTACTGAAAACGACCCCAACATTTGATTTTTAAATGGGACACCCTGTGTTGTATTCCATAATCGGTTAGGGATTGTCATAACAAATTCATCGATACCGGGTTTGATATGGTTATTTCGAACGATGACGCAGATATTCGAGTTCTAAGTTTCCATATGCTGAATGAGTGTGACAGAGAAAGAAGTTTTTATATTGCGCAGTCACAATCCTTGAGCATATGGAAACTTCGAACGCAAATATCTTTGTAATTGTTTAAAGTAACCCTATCAAACCCGGTATCGTTGAATTCGTCATGATAATCCCTAACCGATTATGGAATACAATACAGGGTAGCCCATTTAAAAATCAAAAGTTGGGGTGAAATTGGAAGTGATAGAAGAAAATTGTTTCATCAATGTTTCAATCAATGAGCAATTTGGTATACTTGCTACCCACCAATTTTCAAAACCCTATCTAGAATAATTCAAAAGTTACAACCCTGGCCGTTTTTTGTGCACTTCTCTGTATGTCCCAAAGGCATGTGCTAACATTGTATCAACATCACCTGTGCCCATCACTATCCTGAACAAAATGATTGAAACATTGCATCATGTGTTGAGTTGAAACAAAATGGAAATAAAAGGAGATAATGCCCCCTTCGCTAATATCCAAACGTGCGGTGATTCAAACTGATTTGAATTCGTGGCAGAACGTCAATATTTCCAAGGTTATTTTGCCTCTGGAAAAATAATATCCAATGAACCAGAACGTCGATTTAAGGGTCCATCGGATATTATCTTCTAACACGGACGAAATATTCTCGGAAAAATTGATACCCTGCCACTAACTTAGATACGTTTGAATCGAGGCACGTTTGGATATTCGTGAAGGGGACATTACCCCTTTTATTTGCATTTTGTTTGAACTTGTTATCACTTGATGGAAGTTTGTCTGGAATAACGGCGGCACAAAAATAGCTGCGCCGAGGATTTGACTCAGATTTAGGGATGGCACAGGTATGGTTTTGAGATCAATTGGAATCGGATCGTATACTTCTTTTCTCGATATTAAATCACTAAATTTTATGCAAATTATCGCACAGGAAGATGCAATTTTCCAATTATTTCGCTCAGGATAGTGATTGACACAGGCATTGTTCGATAAAATGCAATGCTTCTACATACGTTCGGAATCTATGTCATTTCATTACCAGATAACGGTCAAAATTTGCAGCTTGCTTTCCTACTATATCTAGGCAAGGCAATATCTAATTTCAACTGCCATCAGAAAGGATCTTCAAAATTTGAATAAAACACTGTAAGTGAGATATTCCATCCATATTTCTTATTTGTGCTTGGACTTCAAGACTGTTTGCTTCAAGGTTTACATAAACCGATGATGAGAACATGCGCACCACATCGTTTTTGCTATGAAACTTGAATGAAACCAACAATCTAGTGTGAGTTGACTGGGTGATCATTAGGTAATTGGTCAAGATGTCATTCTCTCATTGAGTGAAATATCAATTTGAACTTTCGGGAAGTTGTATCGTTGTTTCAGATACAGATTGTTAGTACCTTCCGGTTTGACCGATAGTACTATCAACTTCAACAGTATATTTTAAACATTTTTCAAAATTAGTAGTCTGCGTAAAATTCTGGTGAATTATGTATCACACCTTAAATGTTCCTTTGGCAGTTAACGAGCAAATGGCGATTAAATTTCATATTGACGACAATTTTAAGTACTTCGCAATACCTCATTTGTTTTACTAGAAAGAAGACTTGAACGACGAAAAATATCCGAATAGGAACAAAGAGAGGTGAAAATGTAAGATGCACAAGTTTCAAATCTCATTCTGTCATTTGAAATCATTTTCAACCATTTCAGACCACCTACAGCGGTCAATATTGGGAACACAAAGATTTTCACTCTCGTATCTATTAGTACTATTTGTTGCAGCTTAAGAACATTACTTTCTGGCTGTCAACCAAGAAATGATATCACTTTATTTATTCATTTCATTTATTAGGAATTACCAAAATTACCTTCTTCAAATTGGGAACACTGTTCTTTTAAAAGTGGCGTCTATACTATAGGTCAAAAATAGTTACTAGAATCTATGCCAATACAGGGGCTGCATATATTTTTGTGCAAATAATACTGAATATTTTTGGGAACATCAGTAATCCTCTTGATTATCTATTGAATTGAACAACCTGTTTTCGATTGATTTGCAGTCGAAATATTTTGTGCACGTGCATAATAAACTAAATGAAACAAGGTCACTTCTATTTTATGACGATTCAGTATAAAATATCAATATCTGTTTAATATTCAATTAGGTGTAATTTTGAGTCACTGCGAATTGTCGAAATTTCATAAGGATACTTGCTATATTCTTGAAAATTCAATACCTATGCAATTCAAGGCAGTACTGATTTTCTCACAAATATTCAGTGGCAAGAACTCGTTTCTAGAAAAGATATATGTCAAACTTGTGTCAGCGCCTTTGGGTTCCTTTAACTATGATTGACTGTAGTGTAGACCCAGCTTTACAGAGAAAGAAAGTCAACCATATTTGAAAAGGAACACTTTTGTATTTAAGATAATGATATGAAATAATAACCTTTTTTAACTTTCACGCCTTGTATACAAACTATGGTGCATTCATGAAGGTATGTTTATCAGTTTCTATCAGCTCTTGATATACAGTGTGTCCAAGGTAAGGATGTTTATCGTCTCAACGCTGTATTGTAGAGCTTTAAAAGTGGCAATGAGGAAGTTTTCCTATAGTAACGTCAGGAAAAATGGAAACGATCCCCATAGATATCCTTATCTTGGACACAGTGTATAAGAATCTGGACGACCCTGCATAAAAGTTGTATTTCCTATTCGAAAAGCTTCAGTGACAGTCATATGTTTGAGTTCTATTAATCTGAGTTTGGAACAACTATACAACTATATTACACTGATCCAAAGATTATACAAACTCTAAATAGACAGCGTAAGTGTGAGAATGGGCAACGCTCAGTTGGGACGTAACAATTCTATTAAGTAATGCGCCGTGGATTTCACCGACTCCTATATTCATCTTCTTCCCTTCGGTTTGAATGGACTTGGCTTCCTGTGCTATCTGGCCAAGTATACGTTTCAATCTCAGACAATTCTATCACTATATGCATCAAAGGAAATGATACGGTGATCTACAAGCTAAAGCAAAAACGACAGACCAGTAGCAAAACAACCTAGTCTCTTGAAGCTATAACAGCTTCTATCACCAGAAAACAGTGTTCATCTTATGACTCCGATATTTATATTCATGTAACAGTTCTACACAGCCGATTACCCGCCGGACTAGATCCCAACGAAGCGTTGTCAATTTTAACACGGTCCTTGTGTATCTACACTCATATACTTTGTATATTCTCTGACTGATCCAACACTGACCCCAAACAAACAAACAAACAAACAAACAACCATTCGGTGGGTGTTGAAACATTTTTACGTGATTATTGTGCCGATAAAGTGGCAATGCAATAACTGGTTTTCTCTATTCGAATGGCGTTTCCTCCACATATATGTTTGGAAAGTGCTGTGAAAGTATGAAAAAGTATACCGGGTGACATAGGAGACATGTAACAGGCTGTAGTTTTTTTAGTTAAAGGGAAAGAAAAATTTGAAATTCACAAGGGTTATATTATCGATCATGGCGCTTCCTTTGAACCCAATGACATTTTTTTTCAACCATCTGTTTGATTGGGTGTAGACCCAACTTTTTGTTTGTTTTTCAAATGGCACCCTGTATATTTCTGTAATCTATCTTATTTGCCTTGAAATTCTTTATTCAACGTTCATTAATTGGCTGTGAAATTGCATTTTAATTGAAATACATGAAGATGGCTGTGGCCCGAATACAATTACATTTCGATGATTGATAGGCTTGGAAATCCAAAGATCATCACTTAGACGATATTATCAGAATATTTTCTATACCCTAATCGGTCCCAAAAGATTGTCAATGAATTTATAGAGTTTAAAAAAATCTTCCGAAAATAACTCACGATATTAGAACAATACATCAATTATTACAACAATTTCAGTTTCATGTATCCAAATGGATGATCATATTAAGTCTACATGGCAAAAATGAAAGACAAATAGTTTCTTCACAAGTAGCCAAATGAAAGATAACTGAGTTTTTATCTTAGTTTTCTCCATATCGTGAATTATTTTCGGATGATTTTTTTAAACTCGATGAAATTATTGGCAATCTTCTGGGACCGATTAGGGTATGGAACATATTCTGATAATATCGTCTAAGTAATGATCTTTGGATTTCTAAACCTATCAAGCATCGAAATGTCATTGCATTTGGGCCACAGCTAACTTAATGTATTTCAATGAAATGTAATCTAACAGCCAATTAATGAACGAATATCGAATTATGAAACATAGTTGAATAGAAAATTTCAAGGCAAATATGATGGGCTACTGAAATATACAGGGTGCCTTTTGAAAAAAACAGTTTGGTCTACTTCCGATCAAACAGATGGTTGAAGAAAATTGTCATTGGGGTTCAAGGGAAGCGCCATCATCGATAATATAACCCTTGTGAATTTAAAATTGTTATCTCTTCGAATAAAAAAAATAAATACAGGCTGTACTTGTCTCCCGTGTCACCCGGTATAACAATATTATGTCAGTGAAAAAATGAAGCAGACACCAGGAGAAAGTGATTTATTGATATACTTATTTGAGCTGGCGCGTGTCGTAAAATTTACATTCTTCAAAATATCATAGGATAACCCGATACTTTTTTTATTCCAAGCAAAGAGAATACATACACTAGATAGTCAACGCCTGTGTAAAAATTAGCAACGCTCAGATGGGAACGAACAGACCGGCGGTTAATCGGCTGTGCTGATTCGTTGACCAAATTTAATATCGTAGTCGGTGAATTAAGCGGCGTTATAATGAACAGATGCGCACAGCGGATTACCACCGCTCTGTACATTCAATACTAAGATTTGCCCATTCTTACATTCACGATGCCTATCTTGGGTTTGTATGATCTTTGTTCGAAGAGATATCGAAGCTCGAATAGCTTGAAGCTCGATGTACGCGACTGAAAGTGGGGGAAGTTATTAGTCGTGTTTGTCGTAAATTTTACGATAGCGCGTCCACTTGTAGATTAATTTTGACCGCCATCTGGCACATGTATAATGTGATTTCTACGCGTCGTGACCGAGCGACAGACGATGCCGCGTTGCTCTAGTTCGTGTGCAAGAGAAAGTGTACAGTGTTTCCGCGAGTCTAAGGGTACGGAGCGTTACTTGAAATGTCGGTGCCAACTGTGAGTGATTTAGCTGCGGTGCGTTCGTTCAAGCCACTCGGTTTGTCATCTAAAAAATCAATAAAAATCAACAGACGTGAGTCCGTCGAACACAGTGATTTAATGAGGCAATGAAAATTATGGGTAACTAGTGGGTTTGTGGGTTGCTTGCTATCTAAGAACTTCAGTTTTTGAAGTATTAACCCGGAATGCTATTGTAAAAACTTCACAAACGATAAGATTTACACAAAATTCTCAAACACACGACATGTTTCGCTAACACAGTAGTTTCGTCAGATGATTTACTGGTACAATGAACTAAACTAACCTTGACTTAAAGATTAGTTTAGTTCTTTGTAACAGTAGATCACCTGACGAAGCTACTGTGTTAGCGAAACATGTCGTTTGTTTGAGAATTTTGTTGAAATTTTATCGTTTGTGAAGTTTTTACATATACCATGGATCTCCATCAAGTAACGGCCGAGTCAATTTAAAAAAAATGGAATGATATTGACATACTTTTCAAAAGAACTAGCTACTTTCAGAATTGCTATTGCTATTTTAGTGTTGTCTGTATTGGGGAAAACTGGAGGTATGAAAGTGGGCTAATATTTATATGAAGATATCATCTCAGAAAGAAAATCCACAAACGTTCAATGCGGTCATTGGGATGTTATGATGATAAATACTCCAATTCCAATACCCCAAATGACTATAATTCTGACTCCCAGAGACTGTCATTCGACAACAAATTGAATGAATACCGATACAAGATATGGGCACTTCCATAAAATTTCTTTTCTTCATCTCAACATCTGTTTTTGTTATTCAATTATTCGTGTCTTGTTTGTCTAAGCAAAGATAATTCTGAAATATTGCATTCAACTGTTTATTGGATCAAGGATTCCTGTGATGAAAATCTCATTCAGGACACTTATTATTTTTATTTCTCCATTGAATTCACTGTCTGTTCGACCGACTCGAAAGATTTGATCGAAAAATCTTAGACCATGATTTTCTATGATTCAAAAAAATGTTGCTTTTCGTTCTAGCCGCCGATCCTAGTTAACTAATAGTTCTTTTATTAATCTCTGAAGTACTTATTGGCTGTGTTGTATGATAATTGCAGGGTTGGTGTCGGGGTACGTTATAAAAAAATAACGGTTGGTTTGGCAACTAGCAAATACATGACAAAAAAAATTCTCGATGGTTTGAATCGATGTATCCAGCTGATTATTCACTGGTCATACTTTGTATTACATTAACTGATTTGTTTTATATATCATCATTAGTATTTATGTACAATTATTCAAACTGATACTAAGCTCTTACGAAATTACATGCTATTAATTTTTCTCTGATGTTTAATAGTTCTGGTGTGTGAGAATAATTGGTGAGTCTGTTTCAATTTACAGTTTTTCTATAATTTTACAAAGATTGTCGATCGTCTTACGCTTATTGTTTTATGTAGTTATCCTACATTAACCTATGAATTAATTGAACTTTTTTCTACTGAACGAAATGTAACACTTGCTATAAATATTTTCATAGCTAACTGGCAGTAATTGCAGTATTTCAACGTAAAACATTGAGGAACTGTGAGTTTGAAATTGTGACATAACAGCTCTGTGTGTATTCATTAGATATACATTGTTATAAATAAAAGTTCATTACTTAGTCAAGTGTGAATTTTCATTTATAATAAACTTATACCACATAAATGATTGATTTCAATGGCCCTCGGATATGTCAATAATATTTTTAGTCTTCCATAGCATCAACTTTATTTTCCTTTTCTCTTGAGGCGAAATCGTCCTGCATCCTTATTTGGCCGATGATTTTTCGAAGGAATGTATTGGGTGAGTTTGAAACTAGGATATTGATAGGATGGGTGAGATGCTGTTCTATTTTGAATGATGACCTCTATACTTTCATCTCTTTTTGTATACATGGTGTGAGAAGAGTATTATTTTTTCAACGTCGACCGAAGCTAATTAACTAGGTATTCGAATTAGTGACGAAGATATCACTTTCTCAGGAATTAATATTAAATTAATTGTTATTTTCTTCATTATATCAATGTAATATTTTAGATTCGTCATTCGTTACTCTGGTATCCCCATTCGTCAAAAATTACAATCCCATTCTTATTCCAATGATTTGAAACCCATAATTGGATGACAGGTCATTTTTGATTTAAAAGAAACCCTTTGCTAGTTTTGTTATCTCAATTATTAATAACAGCGATTATATAACAATAGCTATTAATACACGAGCACGTCAAAACTGTCAATAGTGTCAATGATATTATGCAATATACCCACAGATACCAATGCGTATGCAACCAACGAAAATGATACAATTCTAAAACCAAATATCGTTGAAACTACAAATCTCATTACAGCTGAAAGCAACTTTTGAAGAATGAAAAATGTTTGAAATAATATGATTTCTATTAATTCTGATTGAAATGTGACAATATAAATCATACTTGGGCTGTCACTGTCATGTATGAATTAGATCAAGAATTCAAACAATGACTTTCGGTAAGGACACATTTTTGGACGAATCAAAACAATTTCAGCTATGGCGGTCGATACGATATGATGTAGATAACTGTACCACTTCAATGATTGTTCATTGGTATCATGTGCGATATAAAATATAAGGTTTAAATATTTCAAAACATATTAATGAATGCTGTATTTTCAATATTTACCCGCAATATTTATCAATATCCTTCCTAACTTCATGCAGGCGGGGTACGAGCTTCCTATCAAAATTGAATGTCACTTAAATTCTCACACGGTTTTGTTGTTATTTACAATTTCACCTGGAACTTTGATACAGCGTTCATTTGCGGAAAGCCAAGTCCAATTTCTTTTCAGTTTTCACTCCTATATACTTGATATATAAGCTGATATACACGGTGAATGGCATAGCTCCTTTAATGGAAATGAAAATCTGAATTAATAGAATATGTTGATTTTTCAGTGTTTGTAGTGGAAAAATAGTAATTTTCCTAACAAATGCGGAAAGTTATTCTTTCCCGCACGCGACTGCCGTTGACACGAACGACGCGAAGCGGAGTACGGGCAAGCAGTCGAGTGCGGAAAAGACACTTTCCGCATGAGTTAGGAACAATATTTTTTCTACAAGCGTAGGAAATTGATTGACTTGTTCAATTAATTATTCCTTCATATATAGGAACAACTAACGAGAGGAATATATTCTCTATCTACTGATTATTAGTAATAGCTATTGTGAACTTACAGTTTGACGCATTATGTATAGGTTCGTTGCGGAAGCCAGCAGGCCCATGAGGTGTTCTCCAGGTTTCAGGCACTTATAGGAAATAAACCGAAAAATACTTCTTCTTTATTCAGTATTTTCATTTCTTTATTGTTGCACCATTCAATAAAACGCGTGTATAGCTTCTCATACCTTTCTTAGGACTTCGTTGGCAATAACGCCTCTGTATCGCATCCCTATAGCTGGAAGTTTTTGATCACATTGTGGCAATTCCACTGAATCGAAAATGACAGTAA